TTTTCTAACGCTATATTAAAGAGAAGGCACGCCAGCGCGTCTCCCTGCCGTAACCCTGCATATGTTTCAAACGCTTGTGACATATCGCCTTGTATTTGCACTCTGCAGATCACTTTACTCATAGTTGTTTTTACGAGCCTTATTAATTTATGGGGAATGTTAAGTTCATTCATGGCTTCGTATAGTTTACCTCTTAGGACGCTATCATACGCTGACTTAAAGTCCACAAAGAGATGGAACGTGTCAATATTAAATTCATTGGTTTTTTCTAAGATTTGACGTAGCACAAAAATCTGGTCAATTGTTGACCTACCTGGCCTAAAACCGCTTTGATACTCACCAAGGATTTCTTCCACGTACGTACTTAAACGGCTGTACAGGGTGTTGGAGAATATTTTGTACATTGTATTCAGAAGAGTTATACCCCTATAATTTTTACATTCCAACAAATCTCCCTTTTTGTGTAGTGGACATATGATTCCAGTGCACCATTCCTCTGGCATTTGTTCTTCTTCCCAGACTTTGACTATTATGTTGTGAATTTGGTGCATAATGCTGTTACCTCCATGTTTGATGAGCTCTGCGGGGATACAATCCACTCCTGGGGACTTGCCATTTTTGAGTCGTGTGATTACGTCTTTCACTTCAAATATTGAAGGAGGTTCTACGTGAGTGTTATTTCTTGGTCTTTGGGGTGACGCATCATTTTCCACTTCGGTACCAAGTAGTTCTTTGAAGTGCTCAACCCATCTGCTTTGTACTGCGTCAGTGGTACTGACTATATGTCCATTTTTGTCTCTACACATCGTCAGCCGTGGTTTAAATTCTTTTCTTGTCTTATTTAGGATATTATAGAACTTTCTAGTTTCATTTTGCCCCTTTAATGATTGAAGCTCTTGCATAATCTGGTTTTCGAAGGTCCGCTTTTTCCTTCGATGTATGCGTTTTTCCTCCTTCCTAAGATCTTTGTACATTTGCTCCTTATCCCGTGTTCTTCTTTGTTGCATAAGTTTATATGCATAATTTTTTCTTTTAGTGATATCTTCACATTCATCGTCGAACCAACTGTTGCGTGGAGTGGATTCTTCTGGTCCTAGGACGTTGTTTGCCGCTTCCTTAATTGTTCTTCTACATATATCCCATTGCTCGCTAGCTGTTAAATTCTCATCTGTTGTGCTTTCATGTTCAAGGTAATTTTGATACCTTTCTAGTGCACGGGGCTCTTTCAAGAGTTTTAAATTGTATCGAGTACTTTTCTTACCCTTTTCTTTTTTTGCATTTGAGATTCTTGCTCTTATTTTTGCGCCTACTAAGAAGTGGTCTGAATCTATATTAGCTCCACGATAAGTACGTACATCCATTAGATTAGAGAAGTGCCTGGTTTCTATTAGGATGTGATCTATTTGATTTTTGGTTGTACCATCAGGCGACGTCCATGTTACTTTATGGATATTCTTATGGGGGAAGTAGGTACTTCCAACGACCATGCCCTTGGATGCTGCAAATCTTATTATTCTATTTCCATTGTCGTTGGTGACGTCATGAGCGCTGCATTTTCCGATGTATGGACTATATATATTTTCTTTCCCTATTTTTGCATTAAGATCTCTAATTATGATCTTGATGTCGTTTCTGGGACATCTATCGTAGATGGTCTCTACTTCCTCATAGAATTGATCTTTGACATCCTCTTCTTTGTCTTCGGTTGGGGCATGTACATTTATGAGACTGATGTTAAAAAACTTACCTCTTATTCTTAGGTAACATATTCTTGGACTTATTGGTTTGAAGTCCATAATAAAATGTTTTACTTTTTTGTTAACAATGAATGCGGTCCCGAATTCGTGATTATTCTTGTGACAGCTGTAATATATATCGCATTGTCTCTTTTGGATAATTCCTTGGCCAGTCCATCTTACTTCTTGCACAGCAGTAATGTGTGCTTTATATTGAGTTAGTATGTCTATTAATTTTTTAAGATTTCCAGGTTCATAAAGTTTCGTAAAGTTTGTTTTTCGAAACAAACCGTTCTAAAACATTAGTCCGTTTAGGCGAGTTTGAGAAAAATGAAGCAAATCCTCTTAAACTGGCAAAAAAAGACGACATTCTTTAATTTTTTTACATGTATCTTGCAAAAATAGTTAGCAAACAAAATTATATACATCATGACGGTATAAAAGTCGGAGATGCCACACTGGACAGAGTAGAGAAACTCGTGTATCTCGGCAGTAATATCAATGAGAGCTGGGATCCAACCGCAGAAATTAAAAGCCGAATAGAACAAGCCCGAGCTGCCTTTGTAAAAATGAGAAACGTACTTTGCAGTCATGATCTTAGCATTGACCTTAGAGTTCGAATGATATCTTGCTACATCTTTCCTGTCCTACTGTATGGAGTAGAAGCGTGGACCCTAACTGAGGCTATGCTTAAACGCTTGACAGCCTTTGAGATGTGGGTATACAGACGACTACTGAAAATAAACTGGGTCGACAGAGTTAGAAATGAGGAGGTCCTTAGACGGCTGAACCAAACAACACAACTGGTCAATATAATAAAGAAACGCAAGCTGGAATACTTCGGTCATATTATGAGACACCCTGAAAAATATGATCTTTTACATCTGATCATTCAGGGAAAGATCCAAGGTAATCGTGGTCCTGGTAGAAGAAGAACATCATGGCTGAAAAATCTAAGGCAATGGTATGGAAAATCAACTACATCGTTATTTAGAGCTGCTGTCAATAAAGTCACGATAGCGAATATGGTAGCCAACATGATATCCAACGATCGATAACGGTCATGGAACTAGAAGAAGAAGATCTTGCAAAACTAAATTCATTCTATGCGCATGACAATGAGTAAAGAAAGCTTGCGGTGCAATAGTTTTAACTTTTACCTGGAGACCATTTAATTCACCAGACATCACGGTAGCGCCGTCATCAGTTTGCCCTACCAATATATTTTTGATATAAAAAAATGTTAATCTGTCCTTTAAAACAAACACCAAAAATATGTTCTGCCTTATGGCTTTTACTCACGTCTGTAAAACCTAAAAACCTCTCATAGATATTACCAGTAACGCGTATCGAACAACAATTGATAATTGTGAATGACATGATATGTCGGTAGTTTCATCTACTTCTAGTGAAAAGCAAATGATTTCCTGAATCTCAGATTCAATAAAGTTACTCAAAATGTAACTAATTGATTGTATTAATTCATTCTGGATTGTTTTAGATACACCGCTAAATGTCTTCGAATCAGAAAGTAAATTGGAAAATTCCAAATCGTATTATTTCTTAAACATTTTTATTAGTTCTCATGAATGCCTTGATTCATCGTGTCCCCTAAAAGATAATTCCTGGCAACTTCAAAAAATTACAATATCAATTAAACGACGTAAAACTGGATATTTTGTCTTCCAAAATGAAACATGGATATTTTGTTTTCCAAATAAATCTAATTTAATCTGGCGTAAGTACGATCTTTCGAAATATCATGTTTATGTAAAGCCCTAAATAATTCCTTTAAATTATCGTAACCAGATTCACACCACGGATTTTGATGTTTGCCCCTATTTGTCGAAAATAAAATGCAAGGCCAACAGAAAAGTTTGTTTTTTATTTCACTCCCGGTAAGCCATGAGTACTTGCTGTACCAATTAGCTGAAAATGATACTTCCCTTACCCGCACTAATATTTATAAGCCAGGACATTTTAGGCAAAGGACGCCCCTTATTTTTAATAACAATTTGTTCTTCGTATGGAATAGATGAAAACTCATTATGCAAAATATAATTTACAATATCAGACTTATCAATACTTACAGATTCTCCCACGGCTTGCATTTTTTAGGTATTTACTGAATTTGTGTACACTTTAATTAAAATAAAAAACTTCTAATATGTCAAAAAACCCTTTAACCTTTAACTAGTTACGGCAGACGTAACGTATCACAGTATTACTGTAGAAAATTAAAATAAATCACAAAAATAAAGGCTAGTGCACTGAATATCACTTCAGTTTACTACATAATATGAAATAACATTTCGTCCCACGCTCGCAACGTACAGTTCGCGACCAATCACCAATCCAATGAAACATCGGCAAATTTAAATTTGCCGTATTTGGTAATTAAGTTCATATGGAAAGAAATGTATATTTGGTTGCTAATCAACCAATATTCCGTTGATTTTTACAATTAAAGTCAACGTTGGGATCGGCTAGCCAAAAAAACGTGCCTTTTTAAGAATTCATAGGAGGATGGGTGTCTCATGTCTCCGATATCGGAACATCTATTTGAAAAGTGTTTACGCAGGGATCACTTAACGCTAAGATTGGACGAATTCTTTTAAAAACCATGAATAAAATTTAGTCTGGTCGAATTCTTTTAAAAATCATGAATAAAATTTAGTCTTTATTATCTCACAGATATTTTTTTAGTTCACAAAAACAAATGACATCAACGGATTACCTGCCACAATTATTTATTGAAATACTGATTAAATTAAATATTAAAATAATCTATAATATCTATATCTAAAGATGTGGGTCGGCACTGCCGACCCTGCCGACCCTGACCGGCCGCCACTGTTATCTTCGATATAACCAAGAAATGGTCCAAATCGCAATTTGCGCCTCTATAAGTTCTAACATCCATTAGCGGAGTTTGCCCACTACTTAGATATTAATATGTGATCAATTTGATTAAATTTATTAGTACCAGGTATAATCCAGGTATATATACTTGGTATTAAAGATAAATAAGTGGCTATTACTACAGATATGACGTCATGAACACTTCCAAGCTACTTAAGCCAATAAAAAAACTGTATGATCGGCTAAATATGTAAGACGAGTTATCCACTCTGAGACTAAAGTTGTGCATATTTGAACAACAAACATATTGTGATCTGCGTCTTATTTGTTTTCTTTGGGAATATATTGAACTGATAGAGTAGTGAAAGGAAAAATACTAAATAAATAGAATCTCAACGTCTTCAGAAATTTTATTGTTGATCACACCTTAAAATTTATTAACATTGATAACCAGAAGGTACATAATTACAAGAATCATCTCTCTTTGCTCCAGTTATTGAAATCTCCGACCAATTCCAATCTATACATCCTACGGATCCACAAAGAATGTACACACCTGTAGCATGAGTTCCTTTAACGTTGCCGAATACGTTTATTAACGACAAATTTGTTATGGGAATGTTACTTTTGGGATTACCTGTACTAGTACCGTTGGCATAATCTTGTTGAACGTTGACTCCATAATTTAGTATATCTTAAAATTAAAATAAAAGAAAAAGTTAATATGCCGATAAAGCCCTAGTAAGAGTTGATTGGAATAAGACATAGATGGCGCTGTGCAAACTCAAATGAGTATTTGTTACATTGGTGTTTTTGTGTAGGTACATGAGCAGACCTTAAAATATAAAACTAGATAAGAAGTAGATATTGTACAAGGAAAAAGAAACAATACGTAGGCATATTCCATAAGACATTCGTAGTAATAAAGGACCGAGTACAATGACCACTTCTGTCGCAACTTCACGGATATCTGTCTTATTTAAGTTCTTTCCTATGGTTTTATATTCTAATCAATAGACAAATAGTACACTATATAGTTAACATATTTACAAAAAAATGTAATAACAAAAAATCTTACCTACAAATTCAATATTCTTGTAGGTCACGTTTTTAATTTCCCCCAGATATCCATCATTATGCGTCTTCACGTGAATACCATTTTCAGATCGAGCTACCACACAGTCAGTAAAGGTTACATTATGCACAGTGTTATGCTTGTACGATCGATGGCTAAATCCTACTGATAAACTAATACCGTGCCCGCCAGAACATCGAAGGTTTGAAATGAACATGTTTTTACCTCGATTTATAGCAACGCAATCGTCTTGATTTTGCACTATTGAGTTTTCTATGACGATGTTTTCTCCGTAAATAACATCAAAGCCATCTGTGTTATGCCCTAAGTTGTTCTAGAAACATTTATTTGATCGTCAAATCATATTAACACAAATAATTTTATGATAAAATTTCAACCAATTTTATTTATTTACAATCTCGACAAAATATTGATTCCTACTATTTTTAAAATTGATTTATTGATTCTAATGATTAGCATTTAAAATACATTGGTCAGGAAAATATTTGTAAATTTTGACAGTATATATTTTGGTGAATTCACCACTTGGTATTGAATAACCTGACAACTCTTGGAAAAGAATTATTGTGATAAAAGAAATATTGTTATTAACTAAACACAATACTAATTTTGTAATAAAGATAAAATTCGAATTACTTAGCATAATTTTCTAGTTTTTTATTTATTATTTTGCACAAAATAACATTATGTTATAGTTTTGTATTTATTTTTCTTCGCGTCCTGTATGTAGATATAACTGAACTAAAAATTGAACTAATTTGTTTAAAGTGCACAATATCTAAGACTTAATATTGCTTGAATATTTTAACTCAAAAAAAAGTTTTCCTTTACATTCGTTTATATATAATTTTTTCTAATGTAAAAAAAACAATATTACTTAATACAATTTCTGTATTGTTGGTTGCATAACCAAGACATAGAAACAAGACCTTTCCTAAATAAATATTTTATCCCATCAAAATTGAATCAGTAAGTTAAAATAAATATAACGTAAATTTTGAATTTGTTTCTATTTGTGTGAATATTGAATTTGTTGTGAATCCAAGGAATGTGTAAAGGTTATACTTCTATTCTATTACAAACATATGAAAGATGTGTTTAAAAAATAAATTTAAAAAGTACTGAAATTGTATGAAAAAATTAATATAATATTAAACAAAATTCACTTTTACTGAACTGTCATTTTATTTATTTAGATCAAACTAGTGACATCTACCGAGTATTATGTAAAGTTCTAAAAATTTCTTTAACTCATCCACCAAAAATGTTACTGTCAAAATTACAAAATTTGCTTCTGATTAAATTTAATTCCCACCAAAATTTAAACAACAATAATTCAATAAATAAATAATCATAATTCTGGCATTTGTTTATGCACCTTAAGAAAAAGAGATTCGATATTTTTGTTATGCCTTTTTTGAATCATAATTTGGATTATAAACTTTTATTCCTACTGGTTTCTTCGTTTCTCTGGTTTATATGAATGCTCCTGTTCAAAATTTTTCATTTTAGAGTTCTATATTTTATTTTAATCTCTTCATTATTATTCTAGTATTATATAATCTTCATTCTTATTTGTTTGATCACTCTTGGAATCTCCATTTAATGGCATAGGGGAGGGCAGTAAACAATGAGACAAAAAGTACATTGTTATTTCTGACATTAGCATTTTTTAATTTGTCTACAAACTGAGTTAACCAATAATCAATATGATTCTGTGCTCAATATAATCTGAAATAAATATTCCCTCACGAGGGAAGAAACAAAATCTATGATTATTTTTCTAACCATCTACATCCGTCTCATTGAGTACCATTGGTGGTACGAAATTAGTCAAGTGGTATTTTTTTAATATTATTTTAAAGTAAATACATGGGAGTGTAGTTTTTATTATTGAAATTAGCAATTTTACATGTAAAATAAAAATTTGAAATAAAAAAAAATTTAATGGATCTTAATACTGCAAACTATACATCAAAGTTCAACTAAAAGAAAAATAAAGTAGCCTTGAAGCTTACCGCCTTTTCTTAAAAATGACGCTTGTATTTCATTATCGTCAAATGTCTTGAGAACTTTAGCAGCAACATAAAATATATTGTTTTCAAATTTCCCTAATACAAAACTATCAAAGGAAATTTCTGTACTAGCATCAATGTCATCGTCTTCCAACTGTAAATTTTCACATTCATCGACAAAAGAATCATCATAATTGATTGGTTCTTTACTCTCATCAGATGAAGTGCTATCACTTCGTTTATTGCTTTCTGTTTTCGTGCTGAGCTGCTTATCTTATTTAAATTTACTTTAATTCGTTTATTATTCTACGGAGTCATTTTTTGGTTGCTGCTTGTAGTCTAAACTGATCCAAGTCAGGTGTGTTAGTTAAAATTGCACTCTATGCAGTTACCCATGTCTTACACATTTTCTCTTTTCTGCTTTTAGAAATCCTTTAAACTAGTGAGGGGAGATGAACGAACTTGAATTCGCAGATGTTGCTATTGACTTGAGTTTTGAGATATTATCGGTTTGTCAGGTGTCCTTGATGGGGATACTATTTTATTTTCAGATGTCATTTTTCAGGTTGCTGCTTGTAGTCTAAACTGATCCAAGTCAGGTGTGTTAGTTAAAATTGCACTCTATGCAGTTACCCATGTCTTACACATTTTCTCTTTTCTGCTTTTAGAAATCCTTTAAACTAGTGAGGGGAGATGAACGAACTTGAATTCGCAGATGTTGCTATTGACTTGAGTTTTGAGATATTATCGGTTTGTCAGGTGTCCTTGATGGGGATACTATTTTATTTTCAGATGTCTTTGATGAGGATGATATAACTTAATTGGAAACCAGAATAGACATTTCTGTCGACTCTGGTTGTGGATTTAACTTTTCAGTTTCATTTGATCTATCACAGAATTTCCAATGAAGTCAGCTTCAAAAAAATTTATTTATTGAGGGGAAAAATTAATAAAATCTGACAGAATATTATGAGTCTATAGCGGTTTTGTAATACGCTTTAAAGGGAACGAACATTGAAACATCAAAGGGTTCCAGTTTGTTACTACAATAAGGAGGCAGTATGATTACACCATTATCCTTTACTAGTTGAACAACGTGATATGTTACGTGACTCTCGTGTTTGTCGTAAATCAGTATGGAAGGGTTTTCAATTGAACTGTTGCTAAACTTGAAGCGTTTCATAACGTCGACAAACAGCTCGCTATTCATCTATCCACTTGGATTTGCCAAACCCAGTGTGCCAGGTGTAACTTCTTGTGCCATATGTGCCAATACCGCTTTCACCGCTGGTACAACTATTCAGCTGTTTTACACTTTTCTCCGCCACGACTTTCCTAGGTTTCTGCACTGTTATACTAGTCTTATTAAGGTTTTATATCCAGATATTAGACACAGCTGATATCTAGAATAAATGGTATGTAAATTGTCGAAAAACTTGTTGACATTGTGTGAATTAAATTATGTAAATCTAGATAAACTGCAACCCTCTAGTTGACTATTTCTGAGGTTCCCACGCCTATTTAAAAATGAATGGAGCCATTGGAGTCCCGCTATTTTATCCTCGATCCAATTCGCTGGAACTAGAATATTTTTTTAATCGCCATGTCATATGCTACCTTTCGTGCTTATATAATTGTTAATCAGTAGCTCATTTTGTTACAAGTTTTGATTTATTCTCACAAATTTCCTGTTCCTCTGAAAACACACGTCGTACAATATAATTGGATTCCATTAGATCATTATCTGAATTAGTACGTTTTTTTTGCGAGATATCTTTGTAATGTCTGAAATTTTACTCCATGTTCAACAGCAGCAATTCTCAATGATTTTCCATCCAAAACATCTTGTAAGGCACTTGCCATATTATCAGAGCAGAATGTCGCTCAACTCCTTGGTTTTTCTTTGGGCACCATGTCTGTAACAAACATAATAAACTTTTATTCTATGTACCTATATAACATAATATTATATCGTACTCGCTTGGTAGAAACTTCAGTAGTACACAATTGATCAGTCTCATTGTGTTCTATCACCCAGTGTCTAATTGTGTACCAAGTAGCGTTGTTGTAATTAAATGCAAATAATCATTATGTATGTTTTAGTTTTGAAACACGACTTTTTGAGGTTAGACTAACTTTACTGTGGTATAAGTCAACAAAACTATATAAAAAATAATTTCTTACCTTAATTAAACAGTTTATCACTGTAACTGTCACTAGGTCACTAATATCGCATAGGACCATAGATAAGTAGGCATAGGACTTTTCATCAGCCGTCCTGTTTTTTGAACAGACATATTTGACAATGACGTAGAATATATATTTTACGCCAACTCGATGATTCTACGTCATAATTAAGTTGATTCGAATAAAACGTAGAAAAAGCTGTTAATAATATTTATTTTGTAGTACGTAATTAATTCTCGAAGTGACGGTATTTTTTGTATATGTATAGCGGATCAAAGCAAACGGTGTCTCGAAAGATTACTGAAAACTCAAACTAAATCAAAACACGCGTTCTTTTTTTTTAAGCCAGGCGATAAGCTTGTATTATGGGGCTGGTCGTAAATGCAACGCACTCAAAATGTATAATTAAATTGTCGACCATATCTAGTATCTGTAGTAATTAAATAAATATATTAAGAAACACGTCGGTCAGATAGCTCAGCGGGCTGTGCGGCTGCCTCTCATTCGCTTCACTGTCGAATGGTTTAGTGGATGTGGGATCGAGCCCAAGCTCGGTATACAGAAAACAAAAAGTCTAACGCAGCAGTTTAAAATTCTAGATGAATCTGCGGCTTAGACTAGGATATGCTGGGATCTGATCGGCCTATGGTGGAGCAGTACGGAAAGAGATAAGGGCTTGCGGCTTGGTGATACTCCTCCATAGATCCCTACCGGACAGGCGTAACGCCTAAAAAACCGGATATATATATATATATATATACATTTCAATTTTTATTTCATTTCTATTATGTGTATAACCAATTGCGAAAATGTAAATTTTAATATGAGATTGTTTTACTTAATTTTTGAATACAAAAGTTTAATTATTCGTAATTAGCTTGTCGCTACAACACTCCCTTCGGGAAATGTGGATAATACATACATAGTTGCAATGGAAATTGAATAGGTATATCAGAAAAAGACAATGTTTACACGAGAAAAAAAAATGTTTATTTTGTTAAAAAATATTTTAACTCAAAAAAATTATTTAACTGACACTTGCTTGATAACTTCCCGTAAATCTAGGTTGGCTCTTGGGTCTGTTGTTCTTAAAATTGTTGTAGCTGTTTGTTTCTCTGGGCACTGTTGTTTTCTGTGGTTATTGATTTACGTTGACCTCATACGCAGGTTTCAATCTGTAGATGGAAATTGTTACTTCTTTTCCGTATACATGGACAACAAATGTTTTGTCTCCTCGTTTAACTACTGGAAAATGTCTGTGATATGGGTTATCTAAACAGTTTTTGATTGTGTCACGGCGATGGTGGTGGTTTTCATCTCTTTGGAAATAAAAGTGCTTTGCCCCCATGTTGCAACGGTTACTTAGGACGGGAGAATTTTGAAATGGTTTCGAAGTGTCTTTAAGTAAATGTGAGCACTGTCGTCGGTGTTTCTTTGCGACGAAAACAATAATTCACCGGACAAACACAATGGTTCTCCATAAACGAGTTCGGTGGCTGAAGTACCTAAATCTTCTTTTCGCGCTGCTCGTATGCCCAGTAACACTCAAGGTAGGCTTTCGGTCTATCGAATATTTTTATGGCATCGAATTGCTGCTTTTAATTGTCGATTAAATCTTTCCACCATGCCATTTGCTTAAGGGTGATCGGCGGCTGTTCTTAAATGGAGAGTTCCAGTTAATTTGTGGAGTGATTTAAAGAGATGTGATTCGAATTGTCGACGTTGATCCATTGTGATACACTTAAGAGTGCCAAAACGAGCAATCCAATCAGAAAAAACATGTTCTGGCTACTGTATCTACTTCTTGATTGGGCATTGGAAAAGCTTCCGGCCAACGCGTGAAACGGTCGACACATGTCAAACAGTATCTGTTTCCTTCAGAAATCGGCATCACTATAATATCTATGTGAACATGTTTGAATCGGCTGGAAGGTCGACACATGTCAAACAGTATCTGTTTCCTTCAGAAATCGGCATCACTATAATATCTATGTGAACATGTTCGAATCGGCTGGAAGGTGGTAGGAAACTTCCAGTCGGTGAAAGAATGTGGCGCGATATGTTTGATTTTTGGCACTATAGACACGCTCCAGTCCATTTTCTGATATCTGATTGGATTCAAGGCAAAACATATCACTTGATTGCGAAAAATTGCCAATTTCTTGATGTTATCGACTCAAGATAGTGTGGCTGCTACAATATTTGTTAATCCAGAGATGTGCTGAATGTTGGTGCAAAACTGTCCTATAAAATCTAAATATCAATATCGAAATTGTCTAGGACTGCATTTATCTAGCTTCTGTGTAAAGGCAAAGGTGATTAGTTTGTGATTAGTGTATATGTTTATGTCTTTGACTTCGATCATATGTCTAAAATGTTTTATAGCTAAATATATCGCCAATAAATCTCTGTTGTAGGCACTATATTTCTTTTCACTAGGTGAGAATTTTTTGGAAAAGAAAGCTAAAGGTTTGATACCTGTATCCGTTTTTTGTTGTAATACAGCTCCAGCACAAAAATCGGAAGATTCACAAGTGATGGAGATATCAACATCATTTGCAAGGTGGCTCAGTAAAGTAGCGGTAGCTAAACTACTTTTGCAGTCCTCAAAGGCATGGATCCGCTGTGGTGTCCATTCAATTGGTGCTTTTCCTTTAACATTTCCTTTTAGGGCATCATGTAGTGGTGCTTGAAGCTCAGCTGCATTGTGTATGAATCTTCGGTAGAAGTTCAACATACCTAGAAATCTACGCAAGTCTTTCACTATTTTAGGATGAGTGAAATTTTGTAGCTGCTACTTTTCCTTGGGGAGGTTTGAGTCCTGCTGCTGATACTGTATATCCCAAAAATGTAGTCTTGTTTTTGCCGAACTGACACTTTGTTGGATTAATCACAATGCCAAATTGCTTAAGCCTTTTGAAAATTTCTTCTAAATGCGATATATGCTGCTCTTCGGATTCTGATGCAATGAGAATGAAATTTATGTAGGCGTAGGCAAATTCAAGATCACGTAAAAATGCATCTATGAAATGTTGGAAGGTCTGTCCTATATTTCTTAAATCAAAAGGCATATATAAATATTCGTACAGTCCAAATGGTGTGGTAACGGAAGTTTTTGGTATATCTTCGGTCGCTACTGATATCTGGTTGTATGCTCTAACTAAATCTATTGTAGAGAAAATGATCTTACCAGTTAACTACTGACCAAAGTCTTCGATGTGTGGAATTGGATATCGATCTGGAATAGTCCTCTGGTTTAGACGTCGATAATCTCCACAGGGTCTCCATTCCTCACCTTTCTTCGGGACCATATATAGTTTTGTAGACCAGTTACTTTTTGATGGTCTTATGATGCCTAGTCGCAGAAGATTTTCGAATTCTTTTTTAGCCCATTGCAATTTGTCAGGGGCTAATCGTCGATGTTTAGAGAAAACGGGTAGACCTGGTGTTGTATTGATGTGGTGTTTGGTTTGATGTTGGATGTCTTTCAAAATACCGGCGGGTCGCGTGATTTCCGGAAACTGAGCTAACAGCATATGGTAACGCGACACTTCTGCGATTGTCTTTACGCTGCTATTGAAACAATCTTTAACGAGTACCTTTGTTCGAGAGGTTGCAGTACCGTCTATTAAGCACTGGTTAGCAATGTCTACTAGGAGAGCGAAATGTGATAAAAATCAGCTCCTATAATAGGCTTTGAAATTTCCGCCACTACGAAACGCCACGTAAAATTACACCTTAATCAGATATTTAATGTCAAGTTAACATAACCGTATGTTGCGATCACAGTGTCATTGGCCGCGTATAATTCATATGTAGTCTTTTCGCGCGCGCACCGTACATAGTTTCTGGGAAACACGCACAAATCTGCGCTGGTGTCGATTAAAAATTGTTTTTTAGTTTCAAAGTCTGTTACGAAAAGGCGGCGAGACTTTGGGCTTGGATCGGATGATACCAACATATGTCACTATTATGATCTTATAATATTATCTGGTATAGTTGTGCCTGCTAAAGACTGTAAATGTCGTAAGAATTGAGGTCTTCGATCGCCCAATTCTTCATGCTCGAGTGTTGTTGTGATGCACTGAGTCTCTTAATTAATTCTGTTTTTAACTTTACATACCTGTCTGTAGCTAGTGGTGATATAATAATGTCTCTCACTTCAGATATGTATGCTGATTCTAGATTAGCAATTATATAATTATATTTTTGTTGCGTCACTTATAATGTTTGCTAGTGCAAATTGGTTTTCCACTTGCAGGAACCATATTTCTGGATCGCTGGCCCAGAACGGTGGGATTTTCACTGCTACGCGATCCACTCATGTAGCACTATGATTGGCACTATTTTGCATTTTCACAAAATATTTATTTTGTAGTACGTAATTAATTCTTGAAGAGACGGTATTTTTTGTATATGCATCGCGGACCGAAGCAAACTGTGTCTCGAAAGATTACTGAAACTCAAACTAAATCAGAACTTGCGTTCTTTGATTTTGAAAAGCCAGACAATAAACTTTGATTATATAGGGTTGGTCGTAAATGCAACGCACTCAAAATGTATAATTAAAGTGTCGAGCATATCTAATATCTGTAGTAATTAAATAAATATATTGAAGAACACATTTCAATTTTTATTTCATTTATATTATTATATAACCAATTGCGAAAATTTAAATTTTCGCAAAAGGAACGAGCTTTCGATTGTCATGAAATTATATCGTCTGTTATCAATGTCCTAGGGATATTACTACTAAAAATTGAATAGATTGTCTTATTGTGTACCATGTTTAATTGTGTACTACTCTCCCCTAATTAATTAATAAATAAATAATGTTAGCTTTACCTTATCGCCGGCCGAAACATCTACGTTCCATCCTGTAATAGTTAGATCAGTACTGGAAATAATAACGCAATGATGGGGACAATTAAGTAGGTTAATATCTTTAAATACAGATCCTCCTGTGGTCTCAATTTGAAAAAAATAAGGTTTCGTTACTCCACCATTTCCTCCCATACCATCCCAATATAGCGTACCTTGGCCATCCAGGAGAGATCCTGAAAGACGACCAAAAGTAACTTATAATATATAAATAACCACTATATAGTTCAATAATGCGCTGTCTTATTTAAATGAAAGATTAAATAGTATGTTAAAAAAAGAGAAGTTAAAAAGAAATATATGACCCTTACCTTTTGCTCCTTGTACAAGAATTTGGCTACCCCTAAATCGTATTAACGGTCCCACCCATGTCGCATTTTTGAACAATGTTACTCCTTCAAACGTAAGAGTTGATCCTGTCTGAAGATCAAAGTCCAAAGTAACACTTGCTGGAACCTCAAGATTTGAAACTGTTATATTTTTACATCGTTCAATTACTTCTGCAATTTGAGAGAATTCGTGAATGATACATTGCTCGTGAGCTTTTGTTAATGATATAACAAATACAGCAGTTAAATTTAGAAAAATATATAAACAATTTTTATTGAAATACATTATTCATGTGTAGAAAGTGATAGAATTCGATACCTATATATTAAAAACTCAATTATTTACTTTATCAAACGGGTTTAATAATCTTTTAAGGTTTTAAATTTTTAAGGTAAGTGCACAAATCTTATCTGTAATGATTAGATATAATAATTCAAAATACACGAAACTGGACAAAAAGACATTTATAGTCTAAATCACCTTAGTTAAAGCGCGTAATACACAGTGGCGGATCCAGAGGGGGGGCACGGGGGCACGTGCCCCCCCCAGACGAAATAAAAATACACTAGATAAAATAGGTTCAAAAATTCTTTTATGAAACATATTGTACCTGATTTAAATAATTTATTTCGGGAACATAAATGAATTAATTGGTTATATTACAATATAATATTATTACATAAAATAAAATAATATATTCTGTTCTACAGTCAAAATATCTGCTCATAGAATTGATTATAACCCAAGGATGGTAATAAAGATTAGAAATTTGACATCGGACTTCCGGTTTTAGTGTTATAAAAAGAAGTACCATTTAAAAGCCACCGAAATAGTATAAGCGATATATTATTCGACGTGCCGGAGCAAGATGAGAACAAATGTATACTTTTGGTTAAAAAGTTCTAATCGGAAGTGCTATATTATAGTCGCAGAAATAATACATGTGACATATCATTCGAGGCGTATTGAGAAGTCGAGCTTGAATCTTTAGTTCCGGTTTTTAAGTTATTTGCATTTAAACAATTATGAGCGAAAGTTTAGTAAAAATTACTCAAAATTAGTGAAATCATATATCAATCGACGCAAAGTTACACGAAGAGTTCAAATATAGACTTGCGGTTCTACTTTCGATCACTTTGGGTGAAAACCTAAGACTTACGAAGTCCTACGCAATTTTTTTCTCATTAAACCGACTATCTCTTACAGTTAGAGCTCCATTTTCCCGGCTTCTTTTGATTTCCCGGAAATGGGTAGTCGGTAATTTGGATTTCTGAGGAATTCTCGGTAATTAGGAAATTTAAAAACAAAAAGAAGATTGTTTTTTTAAATTTTTAGACACGTTCAAAAATTTAAAAGAAAATTCAAAATTTGTGAAATAAATTAATTTGAAATAATAGTTCTTAGTGCAGTGAGTAATTTTTTTTAAATGCCCGGTCAGCTGATTTGAATTGTCGTACAGCGCGACCACTTATTTAAAATGGCTCCGCCCACCGATGGACCGATGCGCTAGATCCTATCCCTGGTTGAGTTTGTTGAGTATATATCGTGACGATAGACGACACTGCGACAGTGTTGTGATCAGTGTTTATAAACGTGTTTGCTACGTGCCGTAACTGAAAACTCTAAAGAACAATAAAAACTAAGATTTTCTCGTTGTTACTCGTTTTATGTCAGTGTTGTGTTGTATAAAATGAGTTCTAGTGGAGGGAATAAAAGACAACTAGGCCTTGACTCCTTCTTTTCTAAAAAACCTAAGGTAAGTTCGATAAACATATTCATTTAGTTTTAGTTAACACTGCCTTCATTGCATTGGCTTACTGTTAAAAATATACTATTTTTTTATTTTAAAAGTTTGTAGTTTGCACTAAAAGCTGTTTCTATTTTCTAATTTGTACTATTATAAAATGGCGACCATTTGTTGTTGTTGAAGCTTAATATCTTAAGGACATTAAGCAAAGATTTGCGTATTTTCTAAGCAAATAAAAAAGATTACTAAGATCAGATTACAAATAACTGAGAATATTAAGTTTTTATTAAAAAAATGCCAATCTTGTGATCTTGTGAGTCTGCTAAATGTTCATGTAATGTTTATTGTATTTTCATTATTTTCAGGTGGACCATGCAGATTCTCAACCAGGAAATCAAATAACAGCTAACAGTAACATACCTGTTAAAGAAGCTCATGTATTTGGGGATAAGGAATCAGGAACAGATTGCTCTGCATCAGGATTAGGAGTCAGCTCTTCTAACTTATCTGTTCGCGATTTTGGTCGTCTTCTTAAAAATGGAGATATCACACCATCACTTCTAACAGATGAAGAGAAATATCAATGGATAAAAAACCCTTGGGTGCCATGTCAAAGTTTCATATTCCCAATGGTTTCTGAAGGCAAGAAAAACCGCTCTTTTCAGCAAAGCTGGTTAAAAACACATGAATGGCTAGTTTACAGCAAGCAATTACATGGTGGTCTATGCAAGTACTGTGTTATGTTTGGTCGTAGAGAAGGTGGGAATAATGATGTTAAATTGGGGAAGTTGGTTGTTGAACCAATGACTTCTTATAAAAAGGCCACCGAATTGCTGAAGAGTCATGCAAATACTGAATACCACAGCCGAAATGTGGTTGCATATCATAACTTTTGTTTGATTCATGAAGGAAAGATTAGCAATGTAGTAGCTTGTATGAATACAGCAGAAAGAAAAACGATCGAAGAGAACCGCAAAAAGCTGATTCCCATTATTAAGACAGTTATTTTATGTGGGGCACAAAATATACCACTTCGTGGCCACAGAGATGATGGTATAATTGATCTAAACACTGAGAGCTGCTTCGGGGAAGGTAATTTTCGGGCACTACTGCAATTCAGAGTTGATGCAGGGGATAAGGTTCTAGGCTCTCATTTAAAATTTTGTGGAAAGAATGCTAGTTACATAAGCAAAACAACTCAGAATGAGATAATTGAATGTTGTGGTGATGTGATCACTGACACGATCATATCTAAAATAAAAGAATCAAAGTTTTTTACTATTATGGCAGACGAAACGACAGATTTGTCGCTTAAAGAACAGCTAACCATCTGCATTAGATATTTCGACACTAAGAAATGCAACATTGAAGAAGATTTTATCAAGTTCGTTGATGTTATTGATCTAACTGGAGAGAACCTAGCAAACACTATTGTTCAAGAACTGAAAAAACTTAATGTTGATTTAGCTAACTGCCGTGGTCAAGCTTTTGACGGGTCGTCCAACATGAGTGGGGTTTTCAAAGGCGTACAAGCCCGAATTTCCCAGATCCAGCCTCTGGCAATGTACACTCACTGTGCCAATCACAGATTGAATCTGGCAATTAGTAAAGCTTGCTTTATTGCTAGCATTAGGAATACAATGGGAGTTATATCTTCCGTAGCAGTTTTCTTCCGTGATTCTCCAGCAAGATTTAAAATTTTGGAAAACGAAGTAAGGGAGAATCACAACCTGAAACCAGGAACTCATGGTCTGAAAAAACTCTGTGAAACAAGGTGGATTGAAAGACACGATGCTGTTCTGACTTTTGTGGAACACCTTCCTACACTCCCTGCTGCTCTAGAAAGAATTGCTAATTCTCCTCAAGGCAAGGGAAGCAATGCATTTGCTTTCATGCACTCTATTCTCTCATCCGAGTTTTTGGTCAGTGTGGTAGTGTTAGCTGAGGTCCTTGGAATAACCTTACCACTAGCACGTAAACTTCAAGCTGAGTACATGGACGTACTTAAAGCAACTGAGTTTGTAGAAGTCACTACAAAAAGCCTACAGGAAAGGAGAAACAACAGCACCGACACATTCAAGGAGTTATTCACTCAATCAACTAAGCTGGCGGAAGAAATGGGTACAGATATTCAGAAGCCCAGGACAACATCCCTTCAAAAAAACCGAGCAAATGTCCAGGCTGAAACGGTTGAAGAATATTATAGGATGACAATTTACATCCCATTTCTGGATTTTGTAATCAATGAACTGATGGCAAGATTTCCCAAAAATGAAATGGAATGTGTAGGTAAGCTACAACATCTTCTCTCACCAGATCTCAGTGATGGTCAAATAAGTGATATTCTTCAAGGAGCTCGTAAATATGAACATGATTTGCCGTGCTTCTCTGCTCTGAAAGGTGAGCTACAAATTTGGAAACACATGTGGTCCAATTCTGCAAAAGAAATGTCAAAACATCCTGCACAGGCATACAAGTTGGCCGAACCACTGCAAAATGTACAAGTTTTACTGCAGCTGCTGTGCACTCTTCCTGTGACGACAAGTACAGCTGAGCGAACCTTTTCTGCTTTGCGTCGTATGAAGACATACCTGCGAACGACCATGACGGAAGAGAGGCTTAATGGACTGGCATTACTCCATGTTCACCAAGACTTATCCAGTGAATTGAAAGCCGAAGAAGTCTTGGACGTGTACGCGAGGAAGCACAAGCGAAAGCTGTCTCTCAAGGTTTTATGAGAAGATGGTCGAATAAAAAGTAATTTTCTTTATGTTTTTACCTATATTGAAATACAGTATACTTATACTTATGTGTTGTGTATTTTTATCATATAAACAACATTTTGTAGATCTTAAATTCATGGTAACGGCTAACAGGTCGAAGTGTTCTGACCAGTATTTTTGAATTAAAATGGTAATATTCTATATTAATAATTCTAAAGTTCCTAATAAAAGGCAAACAAATAATTTTGAATACAACTGCATATTTTCGTATAAATAAGTTCATTTATTAAAAAAAACAGCATTATGTATTAAGTCATCGCAATTCACAAATCTCACTGTAATACATAATATTCCTTATTCTAAGTTTGAACCTTGTGCCCCCCCCAAGACAATTTTCTGGATCCGCCCCTGGTAATACAGGAATGGTTCTTTTGTTCCAGAATTATGTAAACCTGTCCTTGGAGATAAATTATAGCTCTCTTTTCGTTAGGTATACACAAATTCATAGTATGAACTGAAAACAGCATTCCTGCTAAACATAGTCCAAATCATAGATAAATAATATAATACATAGTAGAAAGTCCAAATCACCTTTAAGTTACGTGCGCCATCTTCTAGAAAGAGGCTGCAACTTAGTCGTTGGTATCGATCTTGGCTAAGAAACGGATTTAAAACTTTAGGAAGTTTATATAATTAACGACAACGGGAAAAACACAAATACCGATTTAATTACTATAATATTATTAAATTAATTAATAGTGAAATAATTACTCCTCATGTGTTTGCATATTTTAATAATTAAAAATGTAATACATTTGTTTCCTCTATAGGGGAAAAGCTGAAACATTGGGTTTTGGTGAAAAGCTTAGCTAGGTTTAGTTGTCAGTGTCAGTGTCAATCTGACATTTAAAGATTTTATTATACACAAATCAATGTAGGTATAATATTAATATGTATTAAAATTCCATCAAGTCTAACAGTTTTGTGGAATAATAATAGTCGAAATCTTAATGTTTTACATTAAAACTTTTCAACATGAATAAGTTGAGCATTAGGGCCGTTCTAGGATATACTTTGGCCTTAACTACCCTCCTCACAGTAATAATTCTATCTCTCTACCATGTTTTAACAGGAAAGGGTGAAAGAATAAGTGTGGGATGGTTTCTTGCAAATACTTCGCCACATATGTGGTGTTGTCTTGGTAAGTTTGAAATTAGAAAACCTGGAAAATCAAATTTTTTATGGTAGTTCCTTTTTACTACAAAGATTCTGGTTTGACACAATTTTAAAGTTATCTCTATTAAGTATTAAAAATAGTCTCAATATGTATAATAGATGAAATTGAATAAAAAAATTGTAGAAATATTAGGAGCTGACAGCCAAAAAATACAAACACAATTTGTATTACTTAATGTAGGAATTAAAATGGGGGAAAATAAATGTAACAAATGTAATATCGAAGCAAAATTGTAAATAAAAAATAAGGAGTAACACCAACATAAATAAGGAATAGTCAAAAATAATAAAATAAAAAATTAAAAGGGAGGTATCAGACTTGCACCCACCAATAAGCTTTAAAAAAATGACAATTTACTATGTTTCTACTACTAATAGGAGAGATCAATATATACAATCATTAAGGTTGAACTCTAAAGAAGGAAACATGAAAACTAAGAAGACTATGTCTATATGTAAGGATTATAAATAAATAATTAACAATTCTGTTCTAGGTATAGGACTGTCAGTCTCCCTATCAATTGTAGGAGCAGCTGTAGGTATACATACTACAGGTGTGAGCATCGTTGGAGGTGGTGTCAAGGCACCGAGAATTAAAACCAAAAATTTGGTTTCTGTAATTTTTTGTGAAGCTGTTGCTATTTATGGATTGATCATTGCTATTGTCTTATCTGGATATATGGAAGAGTTCACTTACAGCAAAGTTACCAAAGATCAATTTTTATTTTCAAAAAACTGGCTTGGAGGTAAGATAATAAAATGTTTAGCTTTAGTATAGAGAAAAACCATTCGAATTAATATAATATTTAATGAGTTCAGGTTTTAAGACTAAATTTAAATAAAGGAAATGAGTTAGCATTGCAGTGTGTAATATGAATAATACCTTAATATAGGTAGTAAATAGATTTTTTTACTTCTCCAAACCTTTTTATGAATTTCAATTATAGTAATAAACAAATTGGAACAATGTGGTATTTAGAGATAATTATAAAGTGCTATTAGCACCTCGAAGTTCGAATTTACAATAATTAACAATACTTATAGAGAATATTGCCCAGGAATATTCCACAATGTATCACAATGGGAGGCCCACAAGTATCTATTTTAGTGCTTTTATTTTTAAAGGAGAATTTATAATTTTATTGAATATTGTTCTGATTTCTAGTAACTGTATAGTATATGACAAGAATAAATTATTTAGTTAGGGATGCAGGTACAGATACTTGGATAAATTTTGACTGAATTTTCTCCACTTACATTCATCTCCATACATCTTCATCTTGACATTGCTATTGTTCTTACAGTAATAAAGAATATAGTTAATAGTAATTTTAATGATTTAAACTATTTATAATATATTTATTCTTTTTGTGTATCATTTAGATGTTATTGGGCTTTAGAAACTTTAAAACTAGTTATTGATGACTAAAGTGAGTATAACAACTGTAAAATTCCATACAGACAAGTCTGGTTTGACAATCCAAGATGCTGTTGCTATTTCACAAAATTAAGGGGGTAAGAAAAAAATTTGTGTACATTATTGGTGGTGGTATTTTGTTGGGGAAAATTAAGTTTATTTATTAAACAAACCTACCTATTGCCAGTGTTAATGACTGTTTAGATTTTGCTAATTGGTATTTTTATTGATCCAGTATTTTGTTTCTTTCTTAACAAATTATATCATAAAGTCCTCATAACTGGCTCAAGTCACACCCAGTGATATTACATGCCATGTTTACTAAGATAGAGTGGATGGTTTTGCATGTTTTTTCAATGCTCTCGACATGTTTTTGTAGCTTATGATTTCATTGATTTGTCAGGTGTAAAAAAGTCATGGAAAAATCCTTCAAAGCATCAAAAACTTTAACTTCATGTTGTGGACATGGTTTGTGGTAGGTGGAAAAGATGATGGTTTGTGGTAGGTGGAAAAGATGAGGAAATACTTATGTGGCCTGTTTCCTATTAATAAAGCACACATCTTAAGAATGATACTTCATTTTCTTCCATAAACAACATTCCTAGTCTCTGCTTTAAAGAGATCATGTACATTATCAGTTATCTGAGGCCTGAGCAAGTATGGCATTGCCCAGAATTTGTTATTGGTTTACTTAGACAGAGATCATTTGAAGCACAGAGATATACAGTAATTAGCCGCAGATTTGCCAAAAGATTTTTTATCAATCCCATTGACTTTTAAAAGTTATTATTATATATTAAGTAGTTTTAGGTTTTTGTAATGTTCTCTCTACAAATTTGATTACAATTCCTATAGTTTTAAAATTACTTCATTTTTCAGGATATCTGATGTTTGGGTCAGGTATAACAGTCGGAATGGTGAACCTATTCTGTGGTATGGCAGTAGGTATAGTAGGTTCAGGAGCAGCTCTAGCAGACGCGGCAGATTCTTCCTTATTCATGAAAATTCTAGTCATAGAAATCTTCGGCAGTGCCATTGGCCTATTTGGACTGATCGTGGGTATCTACATGGTTTCCAAAGTCCAGATGGGTGATAAGATTCATTAAATAAATCTCAGTATGCTTTGTTTGTATAGATTTGGATGTATAAAAGGAGTCTTTGAGATTTTGAGCAATTCTGAAAATTCTAAAAGTGTAGATACATTGCTATAAATTTTGAATCAGTTCATTATGCAGCATAGTAACATTGTAATGTACTAAATTTTGTGTTTCAGTAAATTGGAAAAGGTCTAGATCATCTATGATCACTTGTAAATTAGTTAAGTAATGTACTTGGTTAGATACTATTCGTTTCGAATTTAGAATCACAAAATTTCAATAATAATCAGATAGGAATCAAATTTGTATATATATATATATAATTTACATACCGATGCACGTCATCGGCGTCATAGCCCGTGACGTCACATGATACCAACACGAAATATTTAGGCGATAGGTGTGTTCTTTTTTAGAATCACTTTGTCGAGTACACTAGCATTACAGCCACTAGACATATTTTATTATATACGCGTAGAAATAATATTTAAAAATTTCTATTGATGTTAACTTAAAGAAATACACCATAATATGTTTCATTTAATTTGTATAAATGCATTATAAAGCGTTTTTATGAAGAACGTTTGTTTGAACACACTGTAACTGTAATCGAACAAAGGTGAAATTTTGGCGTAAAACTTATTTGACAGTTGCGGTGTTGACACTTTTTGTACTTTAATATTTTGAATTTTAAAGTGAATGCCTCTTGTTTTATATTTTTACCTATTTAATAAAATCTGTTCTTTTTAGAACAAAATTAGTGCATTTTATTTCAAAAATGTCACGTAAAAATTTAAATAGTCGTTTAAAGAGATGGTAATACTTTTGCAATAATTATGTGATCTATTTGATTTAAAATGGAGTCAGGATTCTTTTATACTTTGGTAACTATGTCAACTTCGATCTCTGACGTAGATAATGACTTCCATCAGTATGTAAATTAGATGAAGTATATATATATATATATATATATATATATATATATATATATATATAGCATACAGAAAGGTGTAGCAGTTAAGGTAGCTTTGATTTGTTGTTCCTGAGTTTATTTACTATAATACAATCTCATAGACTCCTTTAGTTAAATGTACTTAAGAATATAATATGTTACATATTATTTAGACTGAAGATTTTTTACTTTAAGTATTCCACATTTTCATAGATCTGTTAGTTTTATTAGTTTTAGTGATTTAACACGGTATTTTTTTTTTAATTTAAACACTGCACAACAATTACAAAAGTTGTTGTTTATCTCTGTATTGTATTCCCCTTACTGTGATCACTGTTTTGTTCTAGTCTATTATGTATAAATCATAATCTCAGCTGTATATTTTGTGATCCAATCCTTCTAAGACTTATTATTTTTAAGTAAAAAAACTTATTATTTCTACCACTGTAGTCTCTGCTGTAGTATACCTTCTTCTAAAGGTTGTAGCCCCAGTGTCCACATTGTGCTTTAAATGATCAGTGACACTATTTAAGAATTTGTCCTACCTGAAGTAATTTCAACTTCAAATCAGAATCAACTCTTTATCTTCCACAGCATCTTCCATTCTGTAGTAGAACACTATTTTTGAAAAAAAAAAACATCCTTTAAATTTCTATCCTAAAAAAGTTGTGAAGCGGTTGAGATCCGAATGCTTGCCGAGAATATAAACATAGAAGTCCAGGAAGGTACTAACTGGAACGAAATTTTGCATTGTCCGTCTGAATGCGCCAACTGATACAACGGACAGAAAAGAGACAACCAAAAACACGACACTCATCGGCAAACCCGAATCATTAGCTACATACAGGTGTACAGAAATATCTGTAACAGCGAAGGTCAGTCAGGTAGTAAATCAAGGGGAGGGGACTTAAGTTGAACGTGCTGCTGCGAAGAGTAAATATCCATTTAAAAATCATTGTATATGATATCAGTGGTTTTGCGATATTGTCAAATAACATCGTCGAGTAATTGTTTATTTAGAACACATTACTTACGTTTTCTATACATTACTGCATAAGACTGCAGTATCTCAAGAAGGTTGAAAAAGCTTCATTCGATTCATAATGAAAATGCAAAAGGATTATAGTATTTTTACCAATTTTACTGTAAAACACAACAAATTAAAAACCAAAAAACCTTTGAAATTCGATTGATCTGACAACGTCGCATAACCAAAGATCTCCGTCGGTCTGACCTTGGCAGTTTCAGATATTTCTGTCGATCTTTACAACATACTACAAGAATCGTAGTTGAGTGGTTTTAAGTTTTAGTATCTAAACGTCGAAGATAAATAAGTAAGATTTTTACTTATTTTTGTATTTTTTACATGTTAAAAGTGGTAGAAATAATGTCACAATCCTTTAATATATTTACAATAATAAATATTACATGTATTTTCATTTTATATTGAAAAAACTAATCGATCTCTCACTAGATGTAGATAGCAAAACTTGATGTTATTTATTAAAAAGAGTTTCATAATCGGACAAGCCATGGCAGTTATAATTTGTGTTATTTTTTTTTATATTTATTAAAGATGTTATTGCAAAATGTAATAAAGAAATTTGATGTGATTTTGTTTTAATTTTCATACACCCAAAAATAGAACTGTAGAACTTACAGAATAATATAAGCTGGCATGAGGATGGTGTCTTTTATTCGACGCCTGAGAGGGCATAATTATACGAGAAGAAAAGAATATGGGTTTAAATATTAAATGGGAGAAGTAAGATTTGAATATTTATTTGTAGAAGTAAATATATAGGGTGTTCTTCTTTTCGTGCCTATCCTCTGTGGATGTTGGCAATCAAGTTGGTCCATACAACTTTGTTGACAGCTGCTCTAAATATATATATGGTAGTCATTCCTGCCCACTGTTTAATGTTCTTCAACCACGATGTCATTCTACGCCCTTGAGATCTTCTATCTTCCCCTGTAAAATTAGTTAATACTTCTCATTGCGCATCACATGCCTTGAGTATGTCATCTTTCTGATTTACACGATATGCATAATTTCAAGATCATTATTCGGATCAAGGTGTTGTTTGTAACATGATGGGTATAGGAAATTCTGAGCATGCAGCGGACTCCACCCCCGCCGCCTTTATACTTGGAAATCTCCAGCCGATAGAGCTCAGAACATCATAAGAAATCAGATAGACTTCATTCTTATCAACGGTAGATTCAGCACAACTGTCAAAAGAGCTTGCACATACCGTGGAGCAGATGTCCCTTCTGACCACGTACTATTAGTGGCCGTCATAAAGATAGCTCTTTCATGCAAGAACAAGCCTGAAACTCAACAACAGATAGCACTGGATAAACTGAAAGACCCAATGATACAAGCAGAAATAAGCAATGAAATAAACGCACAAATTCAAATATTGACGACAAACATTACCGAAGATCTAACACAAACATGGAATACGATTACAAGTGTTGTAACAGACATCATGAAAAACAACTTAGGGTACAAACGAAATAGCAAGAGGCAAAAATGGATGACAGAAGAAATACTATTACTAATGGAAGAACGACGAAGACGAAGCAATATGTATGAAATAGCAAAACATGAATGGCTTAAGCAACAATGTATCGATCTAGAACATTTACAACGACAGCACGACGACCGTAATTTACATAAAAAGCTTAAGGAGGCTGCTAGAATATACAGAAAACGAAGACCAACTACCATACTTTATCAGGATAACCAGATAGTGCTGGGTGAAAAGGAGAACATTGATATATGGGAAAATTATATCCAGGAGCTCTTCCATGACGAAAGACCCATGAGTGAAGTTTATACAGACGACCAGCTGACTGGCCCTTCAATCACCAAAGAGGGGATAGAAAAGGCAATATTAAATTCAAAAAACAGTAAGGCACCTGGACCACACGAAATCCCGTCAGAAATACTCAAATTACTAGATGAAAGGGGAATTTCAGCACTACACAAAATATTTAATTTATGAAACTGGCTGCTATCCTCAACAGTGGTTACGCTCTACCTTTATTCCCTTGCACAAGAAAGTCAATGCAAAAATATGTGAGGATCACAGACTCATTAGCCTGATGAGTCACACTTTAAAGATATTCTTAAAAATACTACATCAAAGATTATACAAAAAATGTGAATGGGACATCAGTGATTCCCAGTTCGGGTTTAGGAACACGAGAAGCAATAGTAGCAACAAATGTGCTGGTCCAAAATTGTTACGATCAGAGGAAGGATGTGTTCCTGTGCTTTTTAGATTACCAAAAAGCGTTTGATCGTGTCCAAAACCACAAGTTAATGCAGATTTTCAAGAAAGTTCATATAGACCAAAAAGACATAATATGCATTGAAAACTTGTACTGGCATCAAACGGCATAGTTAAAAATAGACAATTCTATATCCAAACCCATACATATAAGAAGAGGCGTTCGACAGGGATGTGTGCTTTCTCCTCTTTTATTTAACATTTATTCGGAAGCCATATTTCAAGAGTCTTTGGAAGATGCAGAGATGGGAATCAAGGTGAATAGAGTATTGATCAACAACATACGATATGCTGATGATGGTATCTTAATTTGTGACAACATAGTCGGTCTTCAACAACTTGTCACTATAATCGGAGAATACAGTAAGCGAATGGGATTAGAGATTAATACCAAAAAGACCAAATTCATGATCATCTCCAGAAACTTGGATGCACTTGAAAACTCCACCATAACACTGAATACTAAGTCCGTTGAAAGAGTGAGTAAATTTAATTTCCTGGGATCGTGGCTTTTTGAAGACTAGGCATCGGACAGGGAAGTAAAATGTCGCATTGAGCAAGCTCGACAAGCTTTCGTAAAATTCAAGAAGATACTGACTTGTTTAGAGTTCGATCTTCAACTGAGACTAAGGTTTACTAAGTGCTACGTATGGTCAGTGCTGCTATATGGCGTAGAGGGCTGGACACTCAAAAAGAGGGATATAAACAGATTAGAAGCTTTCGAAATCTGGCTGTATCGCCGTATCCTAAAAATACCATGGACAGCGAAAATCACAAATATAGAAGTCCTTAAAAGAATAAACCAAGAACGCCAACTTTTCGAAACCATCAAGAAAAGGAAAACGGCGTATCTAGGTCACATCATGCGAAATGAAAAATACCAGTTCCTCCAACTTATAATCGGGGTAAAATTAAAGGCAAGAGAGGAATGGGACGCAAGAAAATGTCCTGGCTCCGAAACATAAGGCAATGGACAGGGATTAACGACATACAATCTCTGATACATATTGCAAGAAATAGAGAATTAATGGAAAATGTGATCCACCACATTTCGAAGTCTTCTAATCGTTTGGATGTTGCCTCCGCCAAGGTCCAAGCTTCGACTTCATATAAAAGGGTAGAAAATACATAGCAAAACTCGTGTTCTTATACCAATGTTCAGGTGCATATTACATAAAATCTTCCTGATTCGATTGAAGACAGCTCTCGCCTTTACTATACCATATCTTATTTCCTGTGAGCGGTCCCATTCCTTATTTAGGCTTCATCCAAGATATTCAGGGTAAAGGTAGTCAAATTACCAAAAAAAAAACAAGTACATTAAAAAAATCTTAGAAGGGCGTGTTTAGGCTGAAAGAAAACATTCCAGATAGGAAAATGTATCCAAATTATACATTACAGATAAAGCAGCTAGGCAGTTAAATGGTATTTCAGTTCATTAGTGAAGTACTTTAACTTCTTCATAATAACTGTAAGCTGTGATATAAAATGACAGTCTAAATTTTGGAGAGAGCGCTAATTTTCCGTTTTAGTATTCTAAATTTTGGTGGATGCGCAATTTTTATTATGTCTGTGCAGCTCGAGTGTTTAAGTTTCGACAATACTCACAGATGTCACTAGTATTTAAACGCAAAATAATTAAATGTTTATTAATTTCAGAAAAATATCGCATATTTAAAAATTTTTTTCCTTTACATAATAAACTGTCTTATGCTCACCAGCTACCTAAAAAAAGAACTGAATTTTTGTGTATTATAATATTTGTAGAGAAAAGAAATTAGGCAATTAGTAAAAGTGAAATAAAGGTAATTTTTGTAAAATAAATCTAAGATCTATTTACACAGAATAAATAACAATTGTGTATTAGTCTGTGCTATTTATATATTTAAAATTTGTTTAAAACCGTATTTAATTCATGAGAATAATCGGTATCGTTAGTTTGTTAAAAAATGCCTAAATACAAAACCACGCGGAGTGCCGCATTTGAAGTCGGTACGCGGCAACCCTGATAATGGTGTCATTTCTATTTATGGCGGTTGGCGTGAGTTTTGTAGATCATTCAGGCTACGTTTGTGCCTTATAATAATTCTGCAAATACTATACAAATAATCTCATTTTTATAAAAATTTTAGATGTAAGTTAAATACTTACCGTGTGCATGTTATTAAATTGTGTAATTTTGTGTATATATAGATATTCAAGGTCATTAAACTTTTTTAGGAGGGATTGGTTTCAAATGTGAATATTGTGCCTACAGCTTAAATAATCCTAGACGTATTTATTTTATTTATCTCCAATCTTATTCCACTGGCAAACAAAGGTAAGTATTTTTAAATGTTTGTTGATAAATCTAGAATGTTACCTTTCTGTTAGTTGCTAAACTCACTAAACATTATTAGGCAACAAGGGACAACCAAATTTAGCTTTGCATTTCAAGCTTAGATTTTTTTGCAAACAGTAGCAGACAATTAATAATTTTCTCTTCAAAAATGTAAGAGTCACAGATGGCTGTTTGTTATTTGGGGCTCTCCGCTAGACAAAATCTTCTCATAACAAATTTTATCTCATCATTGGCAATAGTCCTGAATAAACAACATTATTTACTAATCCTAATATTTCCTAATATATCTGCACCCTCAGTATATTATTTGTTTCTTTGTAGATGGTTGATGTTGACAAATTAACTGATGGGGAGCTCCGCACCAAGCTCCTGGAATTTGGATTCCCAGTGATGCCCATAACAGGAACAACCAGGAAAGTTATGGCAAAAAAACTGAAAATGCTGTTGGAAAACAAAAACAAGATTGGTGGTGGAGAAGGTAGAAGGTATGTTTGAATTTTTTAATGAAATATCAATTACAATTTTTTTGCTAGTTTGTTTATTAATGTGTATTTACATAATGTTTCACCAAATTATCTTAATAATTCAAATTAATATTTTATTTAGATCCCTGGGTCGTTACTCCAGTGAAGATGAAAGTGACAATGATGCTAAAGTTACTAAAAAGAAGGATAATAGGAGAGCTACTATGGCAGCTCCTTTAATGCAACCACCTGCTTCAAGTCCTAAACTTAGGAAGAGTACAAGATATGATGATGAGCCAGAGGTAACTTTTTAATCATATTATATAATTAACTTCTGATAAAATTGTTTCAGTTATTCAAGGTTAGCAACAAAAAGAAAAGTTGTGGATTTTTAGTATTAATCCATAATTAAAGATTTGTCTTGTTGACATTTTTCATATTTTTAGGCACCTCCAAGTCCAGCAAAAAGGGACATTAGAACAGTAACTACAAGTAGTAGTCGATCCCAGAAAATTGTTAAAAATGCACAAGATGAATTTGATACAGGTTCAGATTCTGAGTCAGACCTGAACAGTTACAATTCCAAGGGATTACTGTCTGATCAAAGGGGCTCCCCTCTCAAATCTACTTTATCATCTACAAGCAAATACTCACCATCTAAATCAGTAGAGAGTTCTTATTTTTCTACCAAAAACATATCATCTTATGCTAGTGCATCACCTAGTAGATTATCTACCTACAATTCACCATCTTTGGCTTCTGAGTATGCTACAGATAGATTGAATCAAATTCGTTCCAGGCTGAGTCTCAATACTCCAAGTAAGTACGCATTTAATTTTTTTTTTAATTAATAATAGAATCCATTTACAAATGTTTTAACAAAGCTATACCTTAACAACATTAAATTTTTAAAATATGAAACATCGCAGAATAAAAAACTATAACAAACTTTAATACAACTACCAAGGGTAGACTAAGATAGACATGTAAAAGAAATCACTTATTATAAGATACCTTTTATGTAGTCGTTTTTTAAATAAACTAATTTTGAAGTCAAAAATATTTACTTGCCTTGGCAGGCACTCCAGACCAATTGTGTAGTCAGTTCATTGATATCATAGTGTGGTGAAATGGTACTGAAAAGATTTCTGATTGTCTGTTGTTTCTACTAGGTACTTTAAGACCAACTAGTTGTAACAATTAAGGACAACCTGTAATAGCATTAACAACTTTATGCAGAAAATGTAAATTTAACAATATCCTCCTTGACTCAAGTGTTGGTAAATCAAGACTGTATCTTACCTACTGATAGTCATATTTCTCTCTCCCAGCTTCACTCCTAAAAAATTATCCTCAAAAATTTATTTTGGACCGTTTCAATCTATTTAATGTAACAGTTGTATGAGGGGGGCCATAAACTGGAATGGGCGTAATAAGGCCACAAAATTTGATTGCCGTTTAGATGTTACAAGCTTAGTGTCTTTTTGGCTATACTCCGCCATCTTTGTTTTTTTGTTAACATATTCGTTACTCCCTCCCCTTTTGTGATGATACCTCACATGCCACAATCTGCCCAATAATAACGGAGATACGATGTAGTGCTGTTTTGACAAACTCTTTGCATTTGATTTTTGTCTTAACATATTCGTTACCATCTCCCCTTTCCATTGATCCATTGCATGTCACGATCCAATAATATTAAATTCAATTTTAAAAATTTATTTCACGCAGTCTTTATCATGAAGCCAAAAAAATTAAATGTAGATAGACAGAATCATATGGCAGAAGTGTGCTAACTAAAGGGATACTTTTTAGGCATGAATAGAAAAAATCATTACACAAAGTAACATTATTATTGATTTTACCTTGTTCGTTTTTATGTCCACTATTTTTTAACTATTTTTTACTTTTTACCTTTAATTTATTACTTCCGGAATCTCAAAGGCAAACTCAGGTATGAAATTTCGGATGTATTGGCATTGCCCAGTACTTTCACCACCCTTTTTGTTGCTTTATTGATGTGGCTTAAGAATGAGTTTGGTGTCTAACCAGATTCAAAAGACTAACACTTTATTTTTAAAGACTAATGGAAAGTTATTTATAAATTAAACAAATATAACTGGTTTTCTTTGCCTCACATACATCATTTTATAATATTTGTTTATGTTAAGCACCATTTTGCTTAAATTGCACCAATCATAACACAACCTAAGATCTTCCTGTAATAGAACAGTATCATTCTAGGACTAAATTTTTTAAAACAGTTTTACATCATCAGAAAACATAATAACACTACAATTTTTTATTTTTTGTACTAAATCGACCAGAGACAAGGAAATTAAAACAGGGTCACAATGAGAGCCTTACGACATCCTTGTAGGTACTGTTGTTTCAATTGAGGCATCACTTGCAAAGTTTAACTGTCTGTGTATAGCCACAAATCAAATCTGAAATCCATTTAAGAAGGGGATCCACAATACTCTAAAGTGCTTAGTTTTTGTAAGGGGGTCCCAAGTTCTGGGGTTGACTAGAACCAACTCAAGCTCTCAAAACTCCATGTCAATTCCTTACTAACCAAATAATCAAGCAACTTGTGCAGCTCTGACTGATTACAGACAGCTCAATAGTTTGATATGTCATTCCTTGAACCCAATTTAAAAATCAGTTTTAAAAAGCTTTTCTTCCAGAGACTGGGACTGGGAGACAGTACCAAGTGATCTGTTAAAAATAAACAAAATTGGTTTTTATGCATAAGCATTTTTCCAGAAAATAAGCCAGGATACCATCTGACCCTCCATCAGACAATTAGATTAATGGATATGTTGTTTTGTATCCCTATCCCAATACTGTTTCAGACAGTCTGTCTCAAAATTTCACACTTATTTCTTAAAGCCACAAAACGTTCATAATTGTCACAGACTCTAATTGTAAATTGTTTGTGGGCCTGTTTTGTCATATAATTAGGTTATGCAGCTCTGAGGAGAACCAAGAGGGGAATTTAAGGTTTTATATATCTTTAGTGGAACAAAGTGTTCTATCAGTGAGTAAATTGTATCATAAAAAATAACCACCATACTATCAACTGTTCCGTTAAGAAACAGCCCCTACCAATTTTTACTTACTAAATAATTATTTATTTAAAAGTAGTCACCATTTCTGAAATTATAAAAATATTCTTAATTCATAAAATCACAGTTTTCTTTACACAAAAGTTCAAAACTGTTAGCTGTGTGATTTAAATCATTCTCAGACATTTTATCTATTGCAAGAGTGACATTAATAGATTCCAGATTACTAAAAACCCGGGTCAATGGGACTCCCTTGCTGTTCAAAATCTCATTCTTTTAGAAAAAGTTTAGATATGAAAGCAATTTGCTACAATACTTACAGATTCATTTTCAGTGCCAGCCACTGTCAAGCCCAACTCATCATTACCCCATCTGGCTTGTGGTAGGCTGTAATCACCTGCCAAGACAAACAAGCTATCAAAAAATTACTATAAATATATTCAACAGTTTCACAATGCTTAAATGAAACTGAGAAAGTGATGGAGAAGGTGTATATCGTTTATTCATCTTCCGGGTTTGGACCATGTCATTTGTGAGTGACCCAAAAGTGGGTTCATCTCGACGTTTCGCTACAATTGTATGTAGCTTCTTCAGGAGAACAAAGAAAAAAAAAAGAAAACAAAAGAACAGGAAGATGGGTAGTTAGCAACGGTAACTCAGTTACTCAACGCAACCAGAGGCGAATACTAACTACCAAGATGGGCATTTGGTCACAGTAACTCAACTACTCAACGCAGCCAGAGGTGAAAACCAAACCTGGCTGCGTTGAGTAGTTGAGTTACTGTGACCAAATGCCCATCTTGGTAGTTAGTATTCGCCTCTGGTTGCGTTGAGTAACTGAGTTACCGTTGCTAACTACCCATCTTCCTGTTCTTTTGTTTTCTTTTTTTTTTCTTTGTTCTCCTGAAGAAGCTACATACAATTGTAGCGAAACGTCGAGATGAACCCACTTTTGGGTCACTCACAAATGACACGGTCCAAACCCGGAAGACGAATAAACTATAATTCTGACTCTGGCCGTGGAAGCCTACGATTTCATAAGGTGTATATCGTCGTTAGGAATGAAATATCTCCAATGTAAAAATATCTTAATTTTACAGGAGACACAAAAAACAGTTAAATAACGCTGTTTTATATTGTATTAAATTAGTGATTGCTTTTTTTGGCCAAACTAAGATTGATATTGATATTAAGGGGAAATTGATTCCTTAAATCAGTACAAAACATTAAACTAATAAAAAAAATATTACAAACGCGCACATTGGAGAAATTATAAATGATTGAACCGGTACATAGCAGGAATTTCAAATATTGTGTATGGATGTTATAGTACTATACACCTTGAATTTGGTGTTATTAGGGGAAAAAGAGTCATATAAACAGTAATGTGATTTGTATTATCTTTATTTTAAATAAACAAACTTCTAGTATCAGTGTATGATATTTTTACGAACACCACTGAAAGTATTATTTTTTGTTGATTTTAGGAATAGTATCGTAAAAGTGATGATGATCTTTTTCAATAACTGATTTAAAGTCTTGCAGATGTTTGAACTTGTCTTCTGATATTTCAGGAGGTGTCTTGAAGAGTGAGTTTTCATAAACCGACAGGTCTTGGCTTTCTCTTCTGTGTGGTAGTAGCTTCCAGTTATCTGAGTAATCAGTGGTGTAGTATACCTCTCCATTGGGACTATATTTTAATTGTCTTATATCTACAACTTGCGGATTTTTGGCATTTTTTCCAGGTCTTATTGAACGAAAGTTACTGTCAATAGCGTACTTTTTAAAGAACGTAAAATCTACGTTTTTAATATTATGCGGATGTTTTGGTCGAGCAAGACGCATTCTAGCAATGTGAATTCTCATCGGTGATTTAATGTTAATTGGAGTCTGAAAGTAATGTTCCAAAATTAAATGAACTGAATCTGCTTTCATCATAGTAGGCCTTTTTCAAGATATAACTGCTGTATTGTAAGGGATTTTGCTCTTGCTGAATCACTTAAAGCACTAGCCAAAGTTCTTTTTCGATTTTGGTAGTTGCATCCATCTGAGATGAATACAAGAGTTTGATAGTTAGCAGGAATATTATTTATATAATCTATAAGACAAGATGTAAATTCATTGCTACTGACTTCACCATTTGCTTCATACCAAACGTACAACTGGACATCTTCATCATTTAGAGAATAAATGGTGAAATTGTGTACTTGGAGTTTGAGCTTATAATACGATTGGGAAGCTAATACTTTTGGACATGTTAAGAAACTTTGAAGATCAACTGTAAGAACCAATTTTTTAGAATTTGCGCTACTTTTTAATAACTCTTTTGCCAGTCTTCCTTCTTTCTGCTTTGACATGTGCTGATCATAATCTGCAGTACTTATTGTCTTCATTTTATGTGCAACACACGTATCACATTGATCTTTCCTTTGCTTATGTATGCCAATTTTCTCTACTTCTAAAACAACTTTATACAACTTGATATGAGCAACTGACTGCTTTCTATCATCACACCATTCTTTATATAGTTTGTACATGTAATTTGTTGTTATGATACTGTTGTCAACATATATTCTGCTAGTAGATGCTCTACAATAGTGTGAAGGAGCTTTAGGAATATCTTGCAACCATTCCTTAAAATTCTTTTCTTTGCAAATTTGTCTCATTTTTCTTGGAGTAATCTTGTTGAATGTTGGAATCTTATAGACTTTCACTAAAAGTATCAATTTCATGAGTGGCTGGCTCCCTTGAGACCCATCGTTTCATTGTGTCTTCTAAATTTAATGTGTTCAAAAACATAACTCGGCATACCTTGAGGTAACTTCCGTCTTTAGAAACAAAAAAAGTCACGAGCACTCTTCTTTTTGGACCGTTTGTCTGAATTTTGAGTATCTTTTCGGCGCCTTTGCACTGCTCTTGAACGAACAAGATTTTTAACATAAGTGCTTTTATGTTCCCACGACGTTAATGTCCAAAATTTTTTAAAAATTCGTAGTCTATCGTCCTGCGTAATTAAAGAACATTTAAATGAGTGTTCTTTTAAACATTTTGGCGTTATAATATGGTTACATCGCTCCTTTACTGACTTGGCTTCTTTAACATTATGTGTCACTATACTATTTTCTCTCTTATATCCTAGATAAGATTTGCCTTTTATTCTCTTGAGCGCATTTTCCATCTTTCTTTGTGATTTTTGCTTTTTTGGGTTGTCTTCTGCTATTGAAATCATTTCTCTTTCATCCTTTTCTTCATCTGTTGATTCTTCCTGAATCTGTACTTCTAATTGTATCTGTAATCTGTACTGGTAATTCACTGATACTATTTGTTGATTGCAGTTTTGTTTTTTCACAGCAAGATTTCATTTGTTTATTGGAGGTATGTTTCTTCATCTGTTACTATTGGTTTTAAATTATGGTCAACCCTGGAAATAAGAGAAGTAGTTTAAAAATGTTTAGTTTCTTTGTGAAAACTAGACTTAAGTATGGCAACCTTTATGAAAATAAACACTAGTTACTAAACTATGTCAGTTTCGGTTGAGGTTATTTTGGAACCCATTTCGTGCCATTCCGTCTGGAAATATGTTGTACATCGCCAAAACACAAATTTTGAATAAAAATAATTATTACCTACTTAATTTAAGCAATAATGAGATGAAAGATATCTAACCGTAGTAGTGAATTTGTTAACATACCTGTTTCTGGATTTTTCATTATAAATTTCATTTTCAATAGGAGCAAAAGTTTGGATAGAATTTTGCCGATCTTCCTTAAGTGAATTTTGTACAACTATTTTAGTTCTTGTCTTGAAAACACTCATTTTGCACTGGTAAATAGCTTATTTGAGAAAATTTGGGGATAGGAATTTGACAGATGAAAGTATGAAATACCTCAAATGTGCAGATATTATAATAGATAATAGCTCCAATGTGTTTTTTAAGCACATTGGATTTATTTCAGTCCAACAATTAATAATATGTTACATTGGAGTAATGCATTTTTAGACATTAGGGAAGTTAGGAATCGGTACGCACATTGGATATTTTTCTAAACTGTAAAACTATTCATAGCGATTCAGAATAGTTTAAAATCTGAATTACCAGAAATTTGCACATTGGAGGTATTTCATTCCTAACGACGATATACACAGCCAATAACAAAATTTTTAGTTTTTATTTTAAATGTTAAGTATACTTGATATATAGAATTTTTCATATAAAATTGGATATCTCATATAAAATTTCATATAAAAGGAGCATTGTGAAATGAATTGACAGAATTGTGAAACTGTAAAATGGTCAGAAAGCTCAACTGATATATAAGATTTCCATATTGAGTTGGATAACATTCGGTAGAACCTAATCAAATTGCATTATGTAGAGGCGAAAAGAAACTGAAGTGTGCACCAAAAGTTATAAATTTCTATTGAAGTTATCTTAATTTTATAAATAAATAATAATGTTAAACTTGTTGTTCAATATTTGTGTTGTCCAGATACATCCACAAGGTAGAGAAAATCCATACATATACATGTAATATAAAAAACATAATTATTTATTTATTAATGGGTACCACACAATTGCATATAAAATATTACAAAATTATACATTAAACCAAAAAATATACAAGCAATAAATATAGTGCAGTAAACTGGAAAAATTACAATACCTAGTCACTTTACACATTGCTTAGAAATATTCTCCAAGCTCATATAAATAAGTAAAGGTCTATTTTACTACCACTTAGCATCATTCTGTTCATTGGAGAATGTTCAATTCAAACAAAATTACAGCGATGAAACTTGACTGCAACATTTGAAAGTAACCAAGTAAATTTGGAAGGGATATTAAAAGTCAACAGATTATTCAATCAATCAATTTAGTTAATCTTGGAATGAAGTCATTTTGCAGGAACTTAGTATTTTAGACTTTCCTTCTAACATTACATACATCATTACATACATTAAAGACTAAGAATAAAGTTCATTTGTTATCTGATTCTGCATGAATGAAAATAAATACACAAGAACACTAATGAAGCCCCACTTTCACACACAATTCTACAGTTTCACCTACATTTTGTCTAACGCTAGTTGTTAACTCTCATACATGCCGTGCATTACTCTCACATATTCAGATGGCAGCCATTCACACTTAATGTCTACCACAGTAAGTTTCTGATAACTTTGTCATATGCCTTCCTAAGATTAGTAAATATGTGAAAGTCTTTCTCTTTCACTCTAAATTTTTCCATTAGTTGTCTTTTAATAAAAATTGCTGTTGTTGACCTGTCTTGCATATATCCATTTTGATGTCTATGCATTTTTATTTCTAAAACATTACACTAAATTCTGTTTCACCATACATGTATGATAATAAATACATATTTTGAATTGGGTGCTGCTAAAAATCGTCTGAACAAAATTAAGCAAATAATTACTGGAAATATCTATTGCAAACCAAATCAAACACTAAATAGCTATTTCAAAATTTCTTTATTATTTATTGAAAATTTGGAAGATTAACGGAGGGTGAGCACTTGTTAGTGCAATGCTGAAAGTAAAAGCCCTCTAAACCTTACCTAGGGCCCAGTACTATTTAGATAAATTTAAATAAACTAGGGCTTAGTCTATTTAAAATAGAATTCTAATTCTAGAAGTCTATAAATAACATCATTAGTAACATGGCTTTAAAATTCATACCTAACCTGTGTGCATACATATAATCTTATTAAAAATTTCACTAATTCACAAAAATTGTTAATCAAATTTAATGTTAACTCAGTTCCAATTTGGTAAAACTTTCATTATCTAATTCATCCATGAAATTTATTAAATTTTTTGTCTGAAGACTTTGTTTGGCTTTTCCCTGGATCATGCCTTGATTTGATAATTGAAGTTTCTCCCAATCTGCTTGTAACATAATCTAAAACAGAGTTAGTGTCCACTTCATACATTATTACCCAGTGCACACACTTACACAAAGTATTCCTTATCACATATTCGGCACACTCGCAGTGGTAGCATTGAATACAAATTTTACATACTCTATAATACAATGTCTTGCATTCATTTTCACATACTTGGCTTATACTTACATAATTTATTTGGATTTCTAAAGGACTGTATCTGAAATTTCCCATGTACCTTAACATTATTTGTTAAGCATTTGTTATGATCCTATCTTGATAATTATTTTTTTAATGGATCCAATCCTCTTTCACATTTTTATGTACACTAGATTCTATTCCATTAATTCCATCTATTGTGTCATATACATTTTCAATTGTCACTGTTGCGTTTCTCTTTAGATGATTGGTCTTCAATAAATTGTTAAATGATCCTATTGCCATGCTTGTATTAATTCTTGAATTTCTTCTATAATAATGAGTCCATATTTTGACTCTCCCTTAATTCTGAAAAACCTAGAAAAAAATATACTTAAGGTGCCTTAAAATGTATGATGTCATATATTTATTTAGCCTGGCAGATAATTAACAAAATCTGTCTCACTTGCTTCTTGTATTTTTAATAACAAGTCCACAAATGGACAAATCATTTTCATTAATAATTCTTTTCATATTATATCATAGCAGTTTAATTGATATTTTTTGATAAATGGTTTTAGAAAGGAAATAAAAAAAATGTAAGAAGAATTCTGCTTCATGTGGAGCCTCATCTATTTTTTTTATATGGATGGTCATCTTATTTTTAAAGTTAGCCTTTTTGTTGTATTTAAGATACACAATTATAAATTAGAGCTCTATTTATACAATTGATGTTTCTTGTAGGAAATTATCACAATATTTAATAAAATATCATCCATTTTCAAATAAATCTATATATCTATGTATAATTTGTAAAAAAGCATAATTGTTGTAATGTTATAAAATGAACATTAGATAAAACTCTAAAATAATATAAACATAATTGTTGAGTGATAAATTTAGATTTTTCTATAAATCAGTAAATTTTATATAAATTATAATTTTTATGAGCAAAATTTCAGTGTATCAATGGTTTTTTGATTAGATGATTAGATGTTTGTTGATTTGGTTAATAATTGTTTAGTAGAATATTTCAAAATTATACTACAATAGACAAAAAGTTCATCAACATTTATCAATTATGTCAACTTTCTTTATTAAAAATCATTTTGAACAATGTTGGACATATTTTTCTCACTTTGTGATTCTTCTGCAAAGATCTTAAGACAATTATATACAATTCTAAATAGCAGATTACACTATTCAAGGTGTTAGTGATGATTTTTTGTCAAAATATCATTTTGAGCCAAAATTAAAAACAAAAATTTTGGTTTCACTTGGTCATAAATCATAAATGTAAATAACTTCACTTTTTTAGATTTAATTTTTATATTTGCAGGTTATGATAAACCAACTTACACTACATCGGAAGATAAAGAAGAAACTCCATTCTTGAGTAACTTTACAAAGAAACTATCAACTTTATCATCTCCGCAGAAAAATGACTATGATTACAAAAATGACATCATTAAAGAACATGATGCCAATGGATCCGCATCTGTTAGAACCCAGTTGAATAGGTAAGTGTTACATATCTTAGTAAACATTGCAAAAAAAAATATTCCTGAATAAAAATAGTTGGAAATGAATAGCTGTTTCTGTAATCTTCACAAATTTTTTATATTACTTCACTATAGAAGCTTATAAATTGCAGAGATTTTTTTAATAGTAATTTTAACTTCTCTGGATCTAAGTTGAATGGATCATTATCTTATGAATAGATTATTATGTGAATATATGCTTTTTATATAATTAACGGCACCGAATAGTTACCGCTGCGCTATTGACAGCGTGGATAAATATGTAAACAAAGCACTCGAATCGAATTGGTACGAAAATAAGGATTTGCACTGGATCTTCGTATAGTATTTATAAAGTCAGTTGAAACATGTCACTCCTACGCGATTTGTAAGGGCAGTTCAATATTACATTTAATGGTAATCAAGTTGAAGTATAAATAACACACGTCAATATTTAAAACATATTTGAACAACCACATAGTTCGTAGGAAAGAGATGGAAGAAAGAGAGAATGAAAGATACATCCCATCAAATAAATATTGGACATTGATATGTTATTCAAAATCACCAATATTTAACACGTTACTTGGAGGTTCGTTTCCACACGGCAGCGTTGGTGTACAGATAAGAAACGCTGTTGATTCATGCCAGTGCTGTACAGCTAAAATGTTTATTATTTTACGAAGTAGGTGTAATAACTGTTTTAAATCATTATACTGTCAATATAGCCTATTGCCATTATATATAAATTATTTTTGTTGCTAAATATAACATGTTAAAAACTATTTTATACACTTATGTACTTTACGGCAGTTTTAAGTAAATTAAAATTGTCCTTATTCTGTTCTTCATTAATCTATATTTGAATATAAAAATAACTTATGCGCCCATGTCTTTTAATTTTTGTCGGCAACTAGTTTTTTAGGTGTTTCAACTGATTTTATAAATACTATAACTGGCGCCTACTGTACTATTTTGTGATTTTATGTCGTTTCTGATTTGTATTTAGGGCTTTATCTTCTTCTTTGCATGTTTTTTAGTTAAATAGCACTTTAGTATTTTAAATGACTAATATGAATCTTGTTTGTTTCAGCTACAGGGCAACTAGGGGCAGGGACACAGCCTATGATTACCGTCTCAACAAAAACAACATTCTGCAAAACAATTTTATGTCATTTGGTGTACTTGCCCTAGTAGCATTATTTTTTATAGTCTTAGCCATCATGTACATGGGCATGAAACCAGACACTTCTGTCATTTCTTCTGGTAAGAGCAACCCTTATGTTCCAAAATCTTAAAACCGAATCTCTCTACCTATTTTATGTTACACATTAAGGATATTGAACAAGAAAAATGATATTGCATTTTTTGACACGCTTCCGGTTGTTTTTGTTACAAACAGGTGGTTTATTTTAAACAGACTGCATTAAAAGATGTCTTTAATATCATTATTTTGTGAGAAATTACTTTTAAAGTTAAAATTTCTATTGCGTGGGTATGAGTAGATAAACTACGTTTGTGTCACTATAGATACAGGGAAATCAGTGTGTTATAGGGAAGTACCTTTTAGGTAAGTAATAGTAAGAACGGTATATGTTGACGTCATGAGCCTCGCCTCAATATGGCCGCCTGCCGTATTTACAAATTATTTTTGTAAGCTATTACAAAAAAATATTTAACTCTAGACAAAGAAATTATTAACACCATAAAAAACAGAAAATTGGGTTACTTCGGTCACATCATGAGTAATGATAAATACCTACTTCTACAGTTGATTCTACAGGGCAAGATTGAGGGTAAGAGATGACCTGGATGTAGATGTATATGCTGGCTGGCCAATAATAGAATAATAGTGAATAGAATAAGATTCCATTCCCTCTTTTAGTCTTTAATGGATGAGTCTGCACAAAATTTGAAAAACAATCGATTACTTGATATTTGACATAAAACGTGTCGTGAAAATGAGGCATAACATATATCATTAAATTTCTTAGTACCGTTTAATTCTTTGAATGAGTACAGACATACAAGTTTCAGGATTCCAAGTTTCTCTAATTGTTTATATAAATGTTATATAATACGTTATATAAAAATGCCTCACTTTCTGTCATATAACTAAGTCATTTTATGTCAAATGTTACGTAATTGATTGTTTTTCAAAGTTTGTGTGAACTAATCTATTAAGGACTAAAGCATGGGAGGAAATAACAAAGACGTTTGTAGATATTTTAAGTCACAATGGCGAATTACTGGCGCCGACTAGCGGTTAGTAGTTAAACCTCAAAAATAATTTGTAAATTAATTTAGGTTTAAAAATGACGTCAACATATATCGTTTTCACTCTTACTTACCTAAAAGGTACTTATCTCTAACAAATTGATTTCCCTACTCTGATAGTCATACAAACGTAGCTAATCTACTGGTATGGTGCTCATAATATGTTTTAAATACATTGTGGTTTTTAAAAATACTTTCAAAACTTTCTACATTGTTACTTTTTGTATTATTTGAATGGATTTAAAAATAATTGTCACAATAGAAAACACAGTTGTTAATATGTATGCTAAACAGTTTCATTCTCATTTACACTATCAGGATATCTTCTTAACTTAATATACAGGTGTGGTTATATTGAACATTGGTGATCATTTTGTCTTACCTAAATTTGTTTACAGCAGCTTGTAGTCTCTATACATGACTAGTATTAATAAAAAACATTTTATTTAAAGTTATATTAAAGGTATGTCTCAGATATAGCAGTAACTTCTTTAGGACTAATAAAAAACAGTGTAAATGTTATGAAATTGGTCAAGTATTTTTAAATGAGGACAATGCTAATGTAAAAGTAGTTTGTTTAAAATAATTGAACACGTGTTAGTGTTAAGTTTGCTTCGCAAACAATCCATTTAAGAGTCTAAAATATATAATCTGTTACGCGAATATACTATTTTTAATTTTTTTATAAGAATCTTCATGTTAGCTGGTTAAGGTTAAAGGTACATGGTCCATTTATGTTATAAGTTATTGAAACTAATGTGGTGTTTTTTTTAATAAATTGAAATTGTACGATTTTAATAAACAATAAATATTTTGCTCTTTTCAAATTTGTTTTTCTTTTGTGTTGATTCCTTCTTACCCCTCCATGGTGTTAATGCTGACAGACCAAAATATTTATTGCTTGTTAAATATTATGTGCAAACAATTGGACTGAGAAAGGCTTTAGAGGAAAATCAATAAATTGTGTACATTTGTCGAGCAGAAAATCCTTTAATGACAGAAGTCAGTTTGTGTCATTTTGTTCTTTAGCTTATTTAAAAGTGTGTAAATGTGAAGAAAATTGTTTAAAACTAGAAGAACGTCATGATACACAATACAAACTTTCATGAATAATGGCATGCAGTTTTCCAGTCAATTTTCTTTTGCACAGATTATTTAAATTCGTCCATTAACTTATTTTCTCATAAGTTTAATAACCGCAACTTTTTTCTATGGCGTTTGATGTTTTTGTTACATGACTGAAGTTATCAACTAACGAGGTTAATCAACTTCTTGCCCGACCATGTTTTATCCAGTCAGTTTCCGTGATCTTAAAATGTTTCTGTCTGGTCGTTTTTTCATTGTACAGTTTATCTATTGTAATTAAGCCAAATTTATCTAGAAGTCGATAAATTTGACTTAAATATAATAGATAAACTGTATAATGAAAAAACAACCAGACATGAAAATTAAAGGTTGAATCGCGCTAATTTTCTCTTTAAAAGTCATCTGTAAAATTGCATCCTGTACTTGAACTTTTGTTTAGACACTTGGACAATTGTTTAGACAACTTTGAATTCTACTTAAGAAAAACCTTTGTCATTATTGAAAATCTCCACTGAGAATACTTATTTTCTTCTGCTGCTTTTCGTTATGGCCTTTTGTTTTCAGGTGTGCTGCCAGATTAATAATATTTATTGTTTAATCTGACAATGACCACCATATGAACATTTAATTTCTTAGCTTATTGTCGATTTATCACATTTTACGTTAGGTTTAATATTAGTTTGCTCTTAACCACCCTTCTACTCCGTCTAAGAGGTTTATTCTGGCTTTTATCACATATATGACATCAATTCCATTGATTAAGAGATATTAATGGATACCAACGTGTTTATACCCTTAAAATTCTCTGATATTGTAACGTCCACGGGAAATAACTTGTTGGAAGAAATATAAGAGAGTTTTTGACAGTTTTGTAAGAATCTTCATCCTGGTATACTCATACATTTTGTTAACATACTGGAGGTGTGTCTCTACCTTAAAAGATCCACTTCTTTTTTGTTTAAAAATAACAAATGGAAGCTAGAGTTGAAGGATTATCAAAAGCGTATGTTAAAACCTGTACGGATATAATGTTACTTTGGAAATAGTTCTATTACAGATTATCATTTAAAAAAATTAAATGCATTTTAAAATACATCATATGTGACAGTTCCGTAGGAATCTTCAGATTAAAGACCTTGTATCTTCTTACATTTTGTTATGACAGTTGGGAGGTATAGCTCTCGAATGGTTGGTGCAGAGTTCTTGTTTAAGGAGAAAATGTCAAAACTTGCTGAATTCTGGAGTCAAAACGTGTTAATTTTGTCTGAATTGTGCTTTTGGTTTCTTTTGAAGTGACCTGCAAAACTAAATCCTGCTCATAAAACTTATGAGTCTTATCTTGTTAAAATTTTGAGATACTTGGTATTCATCTCTTATCTCGATTTATTCATGTATTGTTCTGGCTTATATCTCCAGTAACTAATTCAGTGGAATGGACTGCTCTCTCTAGGGAGTTATTTCAAAACCGGAGCAGATTTCTTGTTTTTGAGCCACAGTTTCTTAAGTTTACGGATTAAGACAGTTTAAGACATTGTATCGATAAATTGCTAATGTTATGCCGACAAAGAGGAAACATTTGTCAAAAGAAGTTTAAGAGAGTTTGTGACATTTTATTAGGTATATTCATGTTAAAAGGGTCCTGATATATTCATACCTTTATTAAAACACTGAAAATACTGAAAGCCAAGGGTAAACTAATGAACTATAAACAACATAGAGTATATATAGAATGTGACCTTACATTAAAAGAGTTAGAAATACAAAGAAACCTTAGGAAGATAGCCGCAGATGAAAAGACTAATGGGCAAAGGACAAAAATTGGATATGGTTTCATAGTTATTGAAGGCATTAAGTGGAAATAGAATCAAAAAACAAGCCGGATAGAAAAAGTAACATACAATACAGAACAAACTTGTTCAAAAACTAGCTGAAGAAAAAACAATGACGGATCGAGGCAGGGACATGAGCAGATTTAAAGATAATAACACAAAAGATAGAAATAGTAGCTGTAACAGAGACAAAGAAAAAGTGAAGAGGATCAATAATATTAGAAAACGGAATGTTACTAATATACAGTGGAGTGGAAGAAACGAAGAGAGCTCAGGCAGGAATAGCGTGCATGATAAAGAAGGACAGTATCAACAAAGTAAAAAATTGGATATATTACAACAAACGTATACTAAGAGTAGATATGGATACAGAGGAAACCAATACAAACCTAATCATGTGCTATGAACCAGATGAAGACGCAACAAAAAACGAAAAGAATGAGTTCTGGCACAAATTAAAAGAAGTGATAAATGATTGTACAGAGAATATTGTGATCACAGGAGACATGAACAGTAGAATGAGGAAAGAAGCTGAAAAATGGAACAATGTCATCGGACCTTATGGGGAAGAAAAAATAAACAAAAATGGAGAATTACTACTAGAATTCTGTCTAGACAATAACCTGGTGATTATGAACACACACTTCCAACATAAACGGATATACAAGATCACAAAAGAAGTCAAATCAACAGACGAACAATCAATTATAGACTATACTATAGTGCAAAAAACAGAGAACTGGATAAGAGACGTAAGGGTGAAAAGGAGTTATGAAATTAGTAGTGACCACTATCTACTAGAAACCACATTCAAATGCAAAAAAAAAGAAATGAGAACATAAACAGAAAACATAAAGAAATAATAAAAATTTATAAACTAAGGGAAGAAACAACGAAAATAAGATACACTGAAGGGCTAGAGAAAGAGATGGACAATGAACATGAAATAACAGAAACAATAGAAGAAGAATGAGGAAATTTTAAAAATGCGATGATAAAAACAGCTAAATCAATATGTGGAACTACAAGAAATAACAACAGAGGGAAACGTACATCTTGGTGGAACGATGAAGTGAAAAGAGAAATAAAAGAAAAGAAGAAATTATGGAAAGAATACATACAAGACAAAACACAACCAAAATATGAAAATTATAAGAGACAAAGAACAAAAGTTAAAAAGATAGTTAAGAAAGAGGAAAAATTCGGAGAAAAAATGGAAGAAAACAGCACAGAAAACGTAAAATTGTTTTATAGAACACTGAAAAACCTAAAAAGCAATAAAGAAACTAAACTGAAACAAATAATGAACAAGGAAGAAACAATAATAAACGACGATAAGACCATGAGAAACACGGAAAATCCAGAAACTATAGAAAAAGAAGAACTGGAAGAAGCAATAAGAAAGATAAAGATTGGAAAAGCACCAAGAAGCGATGAAGTAGCACCAGTAATGATGAAATATATAGGAGTAAAAGCAAAAGAAAAATTGTTATACATATATAACTTAATATAGAAGAGAAAAGTAATACCCAGAGAATGGACAAATGCAGTAATTATACCTATATACAAGAAAGGAAACACAAGAGACTGTAAGAACCATAGAGGTATTTCACTACTATGTGTAGCAGCAAAAGTATACGAAACCATAATAGAAAGTAAAATCAGAAAAGAAATAAAACATAAATTAGAGGACGTACAAAGTGGATTCAGGAAAGGACACAACACACAAGACCATATATTCACCATGCAACAAGTTATAGAAACGGTTTTAAAGAAAAGTAGAAAAATATAGGAAAAAAAGATATATAGGAAAGCCTAAAGAAGAAACAAGTAAGTGAAGAACTGATAAAAACAACAAAGAGTATATACATGAAAACAACAAATACAGTAAGAATGTTAAATATACAGTCAGAACCATTTGAAACAACTCAAGGAGTTAGACAAGGGGGAAGTCTCAGCCCAGTGCTATTCATAAATGTAATAGATGAGATAGTGAAAGAATGTAAGAAAACATTCAAGAAATACTGCATCGGTTGGAACAAAATGCAAATGATAAACGTTGAGATGTGTATATTTGCAGACGACATAGTATTAATTGCGGAAACAGCAGAAAAACTGAAATACAAGTTAGAGAAATGGAACCTAGACTCAACAAATATAACTTAAACGTAAACAAAGAGAAGACTCAGATAATGAAAATATCAAAGAAACAAGGGACGGAAGATCAAATATAAGTAATGATAGATCAACAAAAAATAATACAGACAAATTCATACAAATACTTAGGAACTGTAATCAACAACAAAGGAGACATCGAGGACGATCTTAATAACAGAATGGAAAACGCAGGAAAACTATTCCAAGCACTAAATAGAGGATTCCTTAATAAAAAAGAAATATCAACAAAGACCAAGATGACAATATACAAAACCATATATAGACCTACAGTGACATATGGAGAAGAAAATTTGATATTAAACAAAAGACATCGGAGCAGAATTCAGGCAGCAGAGATGAAATACCTCAGAAGAACGATCGGAGTAAAAAGAACTGATAGAATCAGAAATGAAAAAATAAGAGAAAGACTCAAAATCAAACCGATACTCAACTCAATCAAGGAAAAAAAAATGGCATGGTTCGGACATCTAACCCGGATGGACAATAATAGACAAGTAAAAAGAGTGTAGGACGCCAAACCAATAGGGAAGAACAGAAGAGGATTACCCATTAAAGAATGGAATAGTGACATCTCGCAGATACTGCAGAGTAAGGGTAAGACTTGCCAGGAAGCAACATAGATGGCATCCAATAGGAAGGAATGGAAAGTTCGTTAAGAGCTAGGATACCTCAGAAGAATGTAAAATATTGTAATTTAATGAATTATATTATAAACGGTCCAACACCGAAAGGTACAAATGGTACAAATAGGTCTACTGATTAACTATAGTAAAGTATTAAAACAGATTGTGGTGTGCCCCTATATCGGAGGACTCCCGTGGGGTTCTTTTTTTAAAGAAAATTAATGGAACTTATAGTTATGATACTTGCATTAATCTATTTAAAGACTTATATGGATATAATGTTCCATCTGGAAATAGTTCTATTATAGTTATTACAAAATAAACGCCAAACAAGCTTGGTTTGAATTTCTGTTTTTCTCGAATACCAATCACTATTAAGTAATTCGTTTGCTTCTTGTTAGTTGTGACAGCACTGCAAATAATACTCAAAACCATATATTCCGAAACATTTTTTTGGTCTGCGTTTTATATGGTACCTTCAGGCACACAGCAGAGTGGAGTTTGTGAAAAAATCTTACAGATAAACGACAGATCATTTGTTAGAAAAGAAAAAGAGAAATAAACCACTGAAGTTGTTCCCAGGATGCAAAACGGATGGAATTATAAATTAAGAGTTTGAAATAAATTTGCCCTCATCACTATTGCTTTATCCTATGTTTTTCTATTATTTTATTTTGTTTTTTTTTTTAAATACTATTGCGAAGATATAATTTTTTTGTCTGAATTTTGCCTGTACTTGTGTACCAGTGTGTCCTCGGTTTTTTTGTCAATCTAGTTTTAGTTTCTCCTCTCCAGACAGTTTTATACAGAATAATAAAAATGAAATACCCATATACACATACTCAATAATTTTTAGATTTTACTTTGCCACCGTGCGTTGAAGACGACCCAAACTCGAAAAAATGGGTAAATTGCATATCTAAAAGAGACGCCAATAACGCGATGCATCTGTTGGAAGTTCTAAAACCAGAACTGCAGAGAAGAGCCGAGATCCATTTTTGCTCTGATTCCAAAGTGTTTCCCCAAATGACTGAATTCGAAATTGAAGATTTTTGTGTATCCAATTTTGAGGTGAAGGTAAGTGTATCACACTAACATAAATTTAACTTAATTATTTTGAAACGTAGAGTATATTGCAGTATTCTGTGATATATTTTAGAGACATTTTTGAAAGTACTGTTGTTCTTCTCTCTAAGCTAATTGATATTTTACAGAACACTACCCAGGTATACAATGATTTGCGCAATTTGATGCTACTGTGCTTTCACAATGCACATTGGGGCATAAATATCGCACAGACTGATGACAAGGTTAGGTCCAGTAGAGCTGTTACTGAAAAAGATTTACCCAAAGATATGGTAAGTACAAATAATACATTTATAAAATTTCAAATGCGTAGTTTCTACTTTTCCTCGTCTAAAATAATTATACAATCGATACAAACAATTAGTATTTTTCAAAATGTACCAGAAAATAACGTTCCAAAATAGCTGTTCAGTATTATAATAACCTAACCTTTAAAAAATGTCAAAGGCTATTCTAGGTTAGAATAGAAGGGCTGTCATTAACTCATTAGAGTCTCTTTTGTACAGATAGGTCTTCGAATAGACAAGTCGTCAAATCGCCGAATAAAGGTGTCTTATTAAATGTTGAGTATTTGAGTATACTAAAAATTCGTAAATCTGTATCAGACGGTCAAATATTTTAACAAACTAGTTGGAGCAAACTGACGTAATATACCTATCACACGATCATTCAAATTTGTTCAAATTGACGCAAGTCAATGAAATTAATTGTCTTTTTTGCATATTTATTAGTTGCTTGTTTTTTATTTACGATTCAAATTTTTCTTATCTGCAATGAAAATAAAAAGGCTGAAGGATTTTTTATAAGAATGTGGATGCATGGCATTATATAAACAGCTTCTTTCTCAATATAAATCAATTATGTAGAAGCTTGTTCCAGTCTCCAAGATATTTTAAACTGTTATTTTTATTTTATAACAAACTAGAAAGACAAATAAACCACACACTCTCTAAAAAAGAAAAAAGAAAAATGAATTTCATCACGTCCATCGATATAAATAATATAATAAGGATGGAACCTATACAGATTGAATGAGATAAATTCGGAACATACGAAATATATGTGTTTCGGCTCAACTCCGCTCTAGGTGGTTGGCCAACAAAAGGTTCTCAAATAATTATATTATAAAAATCCAATACTTCAGCGGGCTGCTGGATTCTGAACTCATTCAGAAACAAGTCAAAACTCCACCCAAATAGGTTGCCTCGCCCATCACATATAAAAATTGAAAGCTACACATAAATCTAGGATATTATTATGCTGTCAAACTACCTATCGCTTCCTTAGGCAAGCCCCTCTTTCGTTTATCTAAGTAGTCAGATGGATATTTTGAGCGGTGTTGCCAATCTCATTCCTCTAGATGTTTCTCAAATAAAGGTGTTAACCATAAAATATTTACAGGAAAGAAAGGAAATAACTACAAACCATTAAGTTTATTTTTGTTATTAGTCTGTTGTAGTAGATTGGTAAATACAATGAAAAATATAGGCAAATATCCGATTTATTTAAAGATACGAAGAAGATATAACTCTCAAAAAGATCCGCAAATCGGATTATTACACGGCGATTGGCAACATTGACTTTGGGCGACCCTAAAAGGAGACAGATAGTTGAACGATATTTTATACAATGTCTATCACCAGGTATGGATTTATTTTTGTCCAAGTTTTATATTGGTCCACTATTTCAAATGGAGTTCAAACAGACATATATTAAATTGTGTGATCCGTTTTATATTCGTTCAATCTGTATGTCAAAATACGGGGACTGTGCTGACTCAAGACACGCGCATGATCGAAATAATATCTCTTCACCCGAAAGTTGTTATAATGCTGATTCGGCATATCATCATTCACAGATAAATTATGAGGAGTGTGCTGTATCGACATTGTATTGCTATTAGTCAAGCATTAATCATTTATTACTAAGTTATTACTAGTAAAACATTTTTTTAATATAATATTTACATTAATATTTGAATAATGGGGTGTGTTTGTCGGTCTTCCGTTGGTCTGCCCAAACGCGGAAATTTAGAACGGCAATATAAAACTTTGCATAAAAACTATGAAAATGATTTTCCGCAGAACAGTTTGTTTAGAAAACGAAAAATGCAAGACTTGAAAAGTAGTTTGAAGACGGGACAATTAATGTCCACTAGGCCTGTTAAACAATCAGTAGTTGCAACAATTGCGTCGTTCAAAATTTCTTATACATTGGCACAATATAAAAAACCATTTGAAGATGGAGAGGTAGTGAAGGAAGCATACATTGAGGCTGCAAATGTATTATTTGAGGACTTCAAAAATAAAACTGATATGTCTGCCATCAAAGAAGTCCAGTTATCACGTCCAACGGTTACTAGACGTATCGAAATCATGGGCAAACATTTTGATAGCCAAGTTAAAAGTGATAATATGAAGTGTACGCACTTTTCTTTGCAATTTAACGAGTTACCCAATATGACTGATACCGCCCAGTTGTGTATTTTCATTCGGATGGTATTTTCTGACATGTTGGATTAAGAAGAATTGTTAACATTGCTGCCTCTGAAAGAAAAAACTCGCGGAGAAAACAATACGAACTACCGATTTACAAACTCGTGTGTATTACAATAGATGGTGCACCATCCATGACTGGCGTTAACAATGGATTTGTTGCATTATGTCGAGCTAACGATGACTTTCCATCGTTTTTTTTTTCAAACTGAAAATAACAGTAACGTTTTTCGTTACTGAAAATAATTTCGGATATTCACCTTAAAACCAGAGCGACCGATACAAAATGTTGGTCTTTCATATCGTCTGAGAAATATCCGTCTTTGAGACAAGTAGTAGCTCTGCTGCTCACAGCATTCTTTGGACAACATACTTGTGTGAGTCTGCATTTTTCCAAATGAAGATAGTGAAATCAAAATATCGTAATCGGCTAACTGAAGAACATCTCTCTTCATGCTTGTGTTTGGCCCTCGGTAATTACGTACCGTCATATGAAATACTTATGGATTGTATGCAGTGCAATGTCATTATCTCTCCTGCTGCCGACCAGAATATAGCTTCCACTATTTTTTACATATTTTTTAACTGTTTGTCCTTGTAATGTTATGTTCAATTTTATGTTTAATTTTAAGTTTATGACATTCCAACATTAATTGTTGGATAGCCCAAAATTTGATGAAATGCCTCTGAAGATGCTCTAGGAAGCGAAAATACTTGGGCAAGATTTAATTAATAAAACAGTGATTATTATCATGATGATAAAACAGAATTTATTAATTTGCCATAAAGAATACATTAAATTATTGACTTGAACACATAATGTTACCTGTTTAACATTAAAATATCGGGAAATATTTAATCACCTGTCAAATTCAGGCCGGACATTCTAGCTAGTAATGTCCTGTCAGTACTGTCGTCTATCAGCTACATGTAAAAATATTAATCCTTAGTATATGATATCGATAATCACGTTATGTCTAACTGCCGATTGTCATTTGTCTTAAATATTTTTCGACCAATCAAAATTAAAGTTTTAGAGGATTTGATCAAATTCAGGTCAAACTAGTTTGATAAAATATTTGACCGTCTGACACGGACTTACACAAAAAATATGCAATTTTAGACAAAAACATCTATTTTGAATGTTTTATTGTACAGACTCTTCTTAGTATTACAACTGTTTAATTGTTATATACTCAACCAAACTTATATGCAATCACCATGTATTTCAAATCAATATTTATTTCTTTTGAAATAACTTGTGATTGTTGCAAAAATGAAGGTTTTTATAGAAAATTAACAGGCCGATAAAACAATCAGATAACCCAGCTCGGTATGCTATAGACTATTTGCTTTAGTTGTAAATTAAAAGAAAATAAATAAACATACTTTTGCGATCAAAAACGAAAATAAGCCTTATATGGGGTTGACGATTGTGCAAAGGGGAAATATTATTGGTCTTGTGAAGCAAGAAATGTTTTAGACGTACATATCTGCAGTGGTAGGCGTAATACAGGGCGATGTGTCAAAAAGGTATGCTAGGTTTCAGGAATTGGTAACGTTTAAGAATAGACTAAGACAGTGTCGCCAAAAATTAACAATGTCTCTCCACGATCGCTTCATTGTCCAAGGGGATAGAAGGGACCCAACAATTTCTCACCCACAGCTCCAAAGGCAACTTTTGAAAGCTACAGGTGTAATTATTTCAGTTGAAACAATAAGAAAAAAACTTTGCATCCAAGAACTATACAGCAGTAAACAATTACGGGTTCCCGAGTTATCCAGGCAGATTAAAATTGATCGCCTAAATTGGTGTCTTCAGCTCTAAAACTGCAACATTAGAAATTGGCAAAATGTGCTCTTTTCATACGAAAACAGGATTTGTGAAAATTCAGATGACCGACGAATTCGTGTACTTAGAGGGCAAGGAAGATAAGCAAAAACGGAAATCGGTAAAATGTTCGGTAAAGAACCTTTAACTTCTATCCAACCAACTTAGACAACTCGTCGGTAAGTTGATTTGATTCTAGAACCTATATTTAGGCTCTGAAGAGGTGCAATGGGAGAAAATTTATTTTTAATCCATAATAATACTCCCTTACATATCAGCAGAGTGACTAGAGTTCGTTGAAGCAGAAAATATTACTGTTATGGAGTGGCCTTCTTGCTCACCCGAACTTAATTCTATAGAGCAATTGTGGAACGTGCTTAAAAGAATAATTAGAGCTCACCGGGATAATCCACAACACACTGCACAGCTAGTACAAGCTGCTCTTGAAGAATGGAGCTACCTACCACAACAAAATATTGACAATTTATTTAGAAACATGCCTACGCCACTTGAATATTACGTAAGGGCTAGGGGTGGTTACACTGACTACTAAAAAAAAAACATAAATAAATAAAAGCAATTTAAACATTGGCCATTTTACATTGAAATTTGTTGTTATTGACTTTAAACAAGTGGTTTCAATTTATTATTTCAAAAGTTTACGGTTTTCTATAATTTTTATGTATTGGTAATTAAATTGCTTTAAAATAAATATTCTTTGAATTCGTATGTTGGTTTTCTTAAATTCGCTTGAAATATTAAGAAATATCAGATGATTCCATATACATTTTTGTATTTAAAAATAATTGCAAAAACCAGACTATTGATGTACTACTTGAACTGTATAGACTTTCATACTAAAGTAAGTAATTTCATTTAGTAATTTAAGGAGAAATTGATGAAAGTGAAGAATAATGACTAATTTTTATGTAAATATTAAAGTATATCAATTATAACGAACTAATATGTATTTCAGGAAGAAGTGTTCTTATATTCTGACGTAAAATTGACAAGTTTGGTTGTCTTGAAGCCTGACTTACCTTTTAAGTGTTCTTTCGTTAACAGTTTATCGTCGTGGAAGGCTCTCATTTACAGCAGTTTTAGTTTAATATTCCAAAGTAGCTTATTTATCATAGTCGTTTTTGGATTGTTGTACACGCTGAACGTAGCCTACAAATATTACAAGCATCATGCCCAACAGGAGAAAGACGAACTTGGATTTATGGTCGAGAGAATTATTGATATTTTGCAATCTAAAGCAAGTGAAGATTCAAATATGGACGACTTTGTGGTGATCAACCATGCTAGAGACATGATTTTACCAGTTGGAGATAGAAAAAGTAAGTATTTTTTACTACATTTTTATATTACCAATTGAAAATGTTTAAATTGACATGTACGACAAAACGTATATTTTTAAATAAAAAAAAAATGTTAAAAATAGTAGTGAGAATCAGAAAAATCTGTAATATTAACCTCAATCGAAGTTAACCACGACAATCAAAATTGTAAAAAAACTTCTCAACAACGTAAAAAACAATTAGAACCATACATATGTATAACTTTAATGCAAAGAATGGAGAAAATTATGGAAACATGTAGACTAAACACAAAAAATGTAAATCTGATAAACGTGCAACTTAACACGTTAACTGCCACAAGAAGCTGGTGTGTATCTCATGCTTCAGTGTTTTAGGAAACATTATATTCGATAGGTTGAAACGTTTTATTTATACATTGATGCATGCGTTAAGAACCGGCAAAATAGAGCAAAAGATAGAAAGCATAATACGTTTTGAAATAAAAACAGGTGAAACTAGTAGAGGTGGGAAATTATCGATAGAAACCTATAATTTACATTATATTAGGATTATCGATAGTTTCCCACCTTTAGACGTTAGCTCATACATATGACATCGAACATTTGTTGCGTTCACCAGATTAATTCGCTTTCAATCCGATTACACAGCGCTTAATGCTAAGAATTAAAGTTTTATGAACGACTGACGTTTGACAGTTGTGCTTGTTGCATTTTATTTGATAAATTTATATGTTGGCGGAATTCAACTATACGAATAAGCTATTCAGCCATTCAGCGATGATTAGGCACAAAAAAATTTAAGGCTGAATAAAATGACGACCGCTTATCAGCCGCTTGGAGTTAGCGCATGATTAGCACATCGTTCGCCAGAATCGATTAAAAGCCGCTTGCAAGCAGCTTCTAAGCGATTGAGTCTGGTGAACGCAACCATTAACACTTTTTTAATTTCACATAAAGTAAAAATTAATTAAAGGCAATAAAGCAAATGTAAGTAAAAACAGTTTTAACTAGTAGTATTTTTTTAATTCAAAATTAAATTATTGATTAAGAATAATTTCTACTATGATTTGAGACGTCGCATACACTCTTGTCAAAACAGAATTATGGAAACTTGGTGGTTTAGTGTTAAGAATACTGAACTATTTTTATTAATCTAATTTATTGTCTTTATTTATTATAAAAGGTTCTATATAAAAGGTTATAACACTTACAAGTTTATTAGAATTTTTATACATTTATTACAGTTTTACACTTATCACTAAAAACTAGAACACAACTACTTTAATTTATATTCTTTATTTACAATATTTATTTCGGACTGAAAACTGTTTACAATAAAATTTCTATTTATACTAATCAACCGTTAGCCCAGAGTTCCCTCGGAGGATGGTGACCTTTGCTGAACTCTTGCGAAGCTCATCGAAGACAGACCGGTTGTTTTTATTCGGCCCTCTTCTGGAGAGTTCCAATCACAGGTATAATAGGAGACCCGTCAGGTGTTATCTGAAGTTTCTGAAGGCTAGTGTATGATCTAGAAAAGACTTGAATGGATTAGAAATAATATGTTTAAAGTTATGAGTTATATTTATCGTAACAATACCTTACTTTCACGCGGTCGCTCGGGGTTCGAATCCCACATCAGGATTTTTTTACAATAATTAAATATTAAAATTTGAAATTATGCAGATATCGTTTATTATTAGTTTGATTTATAATTAAAATGGCTACTAATTAATGTTTTTTTATTAGCATCTGTCTTAATGTATTCATTAACGGTTGAAAATGAAAATAGAACCGTAACATTACAAAAACATAGCCTGCACATAAAAAAAAACTATCCACAAAAACATGTAACTTTAACTTAAAAATTTTAGCTGAAGCCTGTTATGCACTCATTCGAACTACGACAAAATCTGCAATAATTTTCTTCATAACCTATACTACGGTTATGTATTATTTATTAATTATGGTTCTACACAATATATAGGTTTTGGTTGCTTTCTTTTGGTCTCTTTTCTCGATTCGAAATAAAATATTGTTATGACACATATTTAACATTCTTCATTTCTTGTTTTTTTTTTTAGAAAAAGCGAGTACTTGGGCGAAAGCCGTAAAGTTTATAAACGAGAACGAATCTCGCGTAAGAACTGAAATCCAAGAAGTAAAAGGAGAACCTTTTGAAGTATGGAGATGGATAGGAAGCGCCAATCTTAGCATGACTGGGTAAGTCATTTTATACGATATTAAATAACAAATTGTCCACTGTAAACAAATGGTTAGTGGATGATGATTTATTATTGTTTACAATTCAAAAATATGCTCTATGTATATATATATATATATATATATATATATATATATATATATATATATATATATATATATATATATATAAAAATATCAAGGACAGTAACGGGTTACTGGTAAATAACAGACAATTGAAGGTAACCGGGAACGACCCAATACTAAGGAAGCAATAAAAAACAGGTGCTTCAAAGTGAGTGTCTTTTATTAGTAGTCAAGCTTTCGCCACATAATTTTTGGGCTTCATCAGAACTTGCTGTAATGGAAAAACATTCTTTACAATCATCGTAATTAAAGATGTTATATTTAATATTACCTTAACGTTGACACTATTTCTTAGTGTAAATTATTGCAGATGTGGAACTACACAAACCAAAACGCATCTCCTACTTAGAGGTAGACGGCAAACAAAGCTTAAATTAAATAATTATTAAATTTGTTATATTTTAATCACCATGTGGCCGGTATTATTTTTGACAAGACATTGATTAATTAAGTCATGTGTCATATCGACTGTCACTTATCGATACGGCACCTGTCTCAATTAATTCTTCTTTTTGTTGGGTATAAGACACTACCTTTCTTCAGTCACATTATTATGACTGAATAATGAATTTCGTTTAAAATCACAATTAAAATTGAATATATGTATACACACATATATACATATATATATATCCATATACACATATATACACATGCACACACACATACGAGTGTATATAGTTCCCGTTCTATATGAGCATATCATGTTTAAAATTCTTTTGGTTTGTATTTAGTGTTGTATATAGTGGTCAACACTACGGTAAGATGTATGTATTACATACCTTCTGTTAGAGAACTAAGTGTATCATGATGCTGATGGATGTAAAAATAAAACTAAAAGTTGGAGCTTGTTCTCAAAAGGGAGGTAATACATCCGGATAGATGTTAGTGTATATCACAGATATTTCGTTGTTTTTTTTTTACATTCATTTATGTTAGTAGTATAAACACAATATGTCCAAAGAAGGGTCGGACATTTACAGATATGCTAAGATTTAACAATAGACAATATAGTCTAGTTGACTGAACATAAAATATACAAAAGGAAAAACATTCTTTGTATATGACGTTAAGTTGTAAAATGTTTTTGTTTTTATTTAAAATTATTAACATATTGACTTATAAGTTAAATTGAATAAAAGTATAAATTTAGTGCAGGCAATCAACTAAGTCATAAGAGGTCGAAATACATCAAACGTACGATTCAGTGAAGTGTGGATCAGCAATGTTATGTAATTCTTGTGTAATAAGGTGGTAGTTTTTTATTTTTAGTGAATTTCTGTTGTAAAACATAAGTATAGATGGAACTCAAGTTATCAACATCTTTTTTGTGGTTTAATGAATTAGAACAATTATTGATGTAACACATTTCTAGGATTTTTCGATGAGCTTCTTTTTCAGCTCTATCTAGAATTATAGTTTCATTGTATAAGACCCGATGGTCATTATCGTTGACATGGATACTCAAACTTGTTGCTAGGGGTTTGTGTTTACAATCACTTTTGTGAAGGGCTAGGCGCTTACTAAGTCGTTGACTTGTGTGGCCTATGTATATTTTGCCACATTCACAGGGTATACCATAGATTACGTTGCAGTTTTTATCTGGTGGAATAGGATCTTTTAATTTAGAGTAGAACAAGTTGAGTTTTTTGTTATTATAATTGGCTATTTTGATGTTGAATTGTCTAAAACGTCTAGTTAGAGATTGTGTTAAACCTTCAATGTAAGGTAATGATCCATACTTCACCTGTACGACGTCATCAGATGTCGATCGATCATGAATAGAAGTATCGCCACGTGCACTGCGTTCTGTGTGTGAATACAACAGTTTGTTAAGCAAGTTTTTTGGATAATTGTTACATATTAGTGTGTCAAACAACAGTTTTAAGTTCTTTTCAGTAAAATTTGGATGTGAAATTTTTAATATTCTATTTTTCATTGCTAGAACGGTGTTAACTTTCTGTTTCATGGGATGATATGAGTTAAAGGGTATGTATCTACCTGAGTTGGTAGTTTTTCTATACCAATCTAAACAGATGGTGTTATCATCCATTCTAACAACTCTTGTATCAAGAAAGGGTACCGATGAGTTTGACTCCTCCTCAACAGTGAATTGTAAATGACAATTAAATGAATTGAAAATTGTGAGTGTATTTTGTATCTCATCTTTTGGTACTGATGTTATTAAATCATCAACATATTGGTAGAGAAAAGGAATTTGGAATTGTACCTGTTGGTATACAAAATACAACAATTTATTCATAACGATTTCAGCTAAGATTGGTGAGGCTGCTGCACCCATCGGTAGTCCTAATTTTTGTTTGTAAAATTTATTATCAAATGAGAAATAAGTATGATTATACAAAAAGGCAATAATCTCTACGAACATTGTTTTTGGAATATTGCAATTCGGTTGTATTAGGTCAAAATGTTCTTCCATAATTGAGGTTATCAAGTCAAGAGGTATATTGGTGAATAGTGAGACAACATCAAAAGACACCACTACGAAGTTATTTGGTATAACTGTGTTATTGATTTTTTGTGCGAAATCAAAAGTATCTTTTATTTTAAATTTGTTAAACGTATCAAAGGAGGTAGTTAACACCTCAGATATCATTTTAGCTAACGGTTGAATAGAGGATTTAATGCAGGATACTATTGGTCTAAGAGGTATCTCTGGTTTGTGAACTTTGGGTAATCCATAATATTTTGGACAGATACCGTTATAGGTAGTGATAGATTTGGCTATTTCAGAAGTGATGTATTTTTTTTCTTTGAGACGTTTAACCAACTTATTACAAGCATTCTCCATTAAAGTGGTAGGATCTTTATCAATCATTACATATGTATCGTGATCATTTAGGAGGTCCAATGATTTCTGGATATATGTGTCTCTATTCATAAGTACAGTTACATTACCTTTGTCTGATTTTGTGACTAGAAGATTAGGATTATTTTTAAGGAAGATTCTAGTTTCTTTTTCAATAGCAAAAGATGGTGACTTAAGGTGTTTATTGTGTTGTATAAAGTTTGTAATATGATTAGTAGCTAAACTTCTGATCAAATTCTGATCTTTTTGTGGTGTCCATGTGATAATATGCTCTACTTCACTGATTAATTTAAAGATGTCAATGTCTTTAGGTGTTGTAGGTAAACTAAATTTAGGGCCTAGAGCTAAAAAGCCTAAAATTTGAGGTGGTACCTCGATGTTGGAGATATTTTTTATCCATTTATCATTGGAACTGCTATAGATGTTATTTTTAGTTTTTATCAAGTTTTTAAGTTTATTAATGTTCGTAGTTTTTATTTGATTGAATAATTTATTATACAAATTATTTTGTCTGAAAAGAAATTCATCCAATATATCATGTGGAAGTAAAAAACTGAGTTTGTCTATGCATTGATTAATATTTAATTTAAGTTTAGAAATGTACCGGATTGTGTCGTTAATAGTTATATTCTGGAGTCTACTATTTACCTGGTGTGTAATGTTTTCCAATTGTGTAATGTTGGTAGTGCCTAGGTGTTGTGGTGTACTCCATATATTCTTGGTGTTGTTGGTGATAAATTTAGGTATGACTTTGTTGCGTCTGCACTCCAGGAGGAAGATTCGTCGGTTGGTTTGGGCAGCTAGCTTACGGTGTAGGTTTGCTAATCGTTTTAATGTGACCATTGTCTCGGTTCCATATCGTAGATTGATGTTGTTGTAGAATGTACCCATTGTAGATATTAGTCTATAAAAAAATATCAAGGACAGTAACGGGTTACTGGTAAATAACAGACAATTGAAGGTAACCGGGAACGACCCAATACTAAGGAAGCAATAAAAAACAGGTGCTTCAAAGTGAGTGTCTTTTATTAGTAGTCAAGCTTTCGCCACATAATTTTTGGGCTTCATCAGAACTTGCTGTAATGGAAAAACATTCTTTACAATCATCGTAATTAAAGATGGTATATTTAATATTACCTTAACGTTGACACTATTTCTTAGTGTAAATTATTGCAGATGTGGAACTACACATTGTTTTTCAAATACAAACCAAAACGCATCTCCTACTTAGAGGTAGACGGCATACAAAGCTGGTGATTAAAATATAACAAATTTAATAATTATTTAATTACATTATTTAATTACATAATTGACATCTTTAAATTAATCAGTGAAGTAGAGCATATTATCACATGGACACCACAAAAAGATCAGAATTTGATCAGAAGTTTAGCTACTAATCATATTACAAACTTTATACAACACAATAAACACCTTAAGTCACCATCTTTTGCTATTGAAAAAGAAACTAGAATCTTCCTTAAAAATAATCCTAATCTTCTAGTCACAAAATCAGACAAAGGTAATGTAACTGTACTTATGAATAGAGACACATATATCCAGAAATCATTGGACCTCCTAAATGATCACGATACATATGTAATGATTGATAAAGATCCTACCACTTTAATGGAGAATGCTTGTAATAAGTTGGTTAAACGTCTCAAAGAAAAAAAATACATCACTTCTGAAATAGCCAAATCTATCACTACCTATAACGGTATCTGTCCAAAATATTATGGATTACCCAAAGTTCACAAACCAGAGATACCTCTTAGACCAATAGTATCCTGCATTAAATCCTCTATTCAACCGTTAGCTAAAATGATATCTGAGGTGTTAACTACCTCCTTTGATACGTTTAACAAATTTAAAATAAAAGATACTTTTGATTTCGCACAAAAAATCAATAACACAGTTATACCAAATAACTTCGTAGTGGTGTCTTTTGATGTTGTCTCACTATTCACCAATATACCTCTTGACTTGATAACCTGAATTATGGAAGAACATTTTGACCTAATACAACCGAATTGCAATATTC